GCTGATTTAATTAGTGGCCATAACTCATTGTTATTGCCAAGGACGCGGCCAAGATAATAAATGACTTTTAATTGTTGACCATGCTCGTAATTAGTGAGCAATGGGTTTGGGCCACGTAATAAATGAACGCACCACATCTTATCGATAATCTGGTAATGGAGTGCATAATGTGCTGAAAACGTGCGGATACCGAATTAACCCGTTATGGAGGGTACTTTTGGCCACTCCAGGTGGTGTTGAATAACAACAAAGCTTACATTTTTGTGAGTTACCTAATTTCACCTGCCTTTCAGCGTTGTATCCTCGTAATTACCACCTAGTGTGTGGCTTACCAAGTTAGAACAAAACCGCACCAGGGATAAGCTGCGTCAAAATGATGGCAAACATTCAACAATAATTAATAATCATTAGTAGGCCGCACATTATGAAGTGGTTGACTAAATATTGAAATTACTGTGATATTAATGCCAGGCCAGGAACAACATAAACAATGCCATTATTACCCCCCCAGATGAGCAACAACAACAGCGATTGTCCTTAATGACAACAATGTGCAAACTGTTTTGCAACAAACGAGAAACGGAAAGTGGCAGCGGCAACAACACTAATAACAACCAGCCAGCCACAATGGCAATATTGTTGCTCTTGTGCGAATTATGGACATGTGTGTGAAGTACACGCATGTAAATTGAAACCGTGACACGCCCATTACCATTACCAACGCATCCAGACGCCCACTTGCCACACGGACAGCCAAATAAACGATGCGGTTCCATCGGCCGTTGACAACCGGTTGTTCCAGCCACCACTTCTTTTGGTCTTTAAAATTTTAAGAAATTATTAAATTGAATTTGGAGAAATCATAAAATGACCAAAACAATATCTAGAACAGTATTTAAAATTTTTTTTTTTACAAAATTGTTAAACCAAATTTAAATACTTTATCTAGTTTTCTATATTTTATATTTAATTAAACTCTTTAAAAATATCTTGATAACAAAAAACAAAATTATAAATTTCCCAAAAAAGGTTTGCGCCAAAACATATATTTTTTAAACAAAATTCGTATTTACGTGCTTAGTAAATGCGTATAACTTGAGTATAAGTGTATAAATATAATGGAAGATTGCTTGTTTTCCAAAACAGTCTCCCTTTTCAAGTACATTTTTTCTCAGCAAACCAAAGTCGTTGACAGGAGTTAACGTGCCTTTCTGTGGTGTTATAATGGTGCAGCGGAGCGGTCCATCTCGTGGGGAAAATTGCATTAATAATGTCGGAGGAAGGGACGAATGGGAACAACAACGGCGACTGGCACTTTAGGCTGCATACTTTCGGGGGCTGAATTTAATATTTGGAAATAATTATGCGAGTGCCGGAGTGCGTATGCGTATGTCGCCCAAGGCAGTAATGGCATACGCAAGTGTGCGAGTGCATTTGCCATTATATTGCATAATTTATACGCGCATTTAATTAAATTCCAGCCCTTTCACTGCTTTTCGCACCGATGACCCAAATACCCATCACAGACACGCTTAATGCCTGCTTAATTTAATAAACTAACAATCCAAAGAGAAAACATTAACTGTCAAAACAGCTTTAAATTAATTTAAATTTTCATGCCCAATTTGTCACCCCTTATACAAAAAAAACCTTACGTTTTTTTTTAATTTTCCAACTGTAGTTCTTTTTTATACGAAAAAACCGACCAATAATGTGTGCAAAGTTAATTGCATTTAATGAGCATTAGGGGGTAAGCGGATTGTGGATGCTGCAAAGAACAAATGTAATTTGCAATTAAATAAGGACGCAGAGCCGCAATTAGTCTAGAATAAAATTCCATGTAATCAGTAAATTATTTGAAACTATTTACCACAAAATAAAATTTATTTCAAAAAATCCCTAAAAAAAAAATAAATGTATTGTGATGTTATATATATTGAAATCAAAATTATTTTCACATTTCCTAGGGGCCACAGTTATTTATCAAACTCTTGTCAACATAAACATACAATCTAGTGAGTTTTATTTGATAAATGAAAATATATTTTAGATTTATGCTATAGTTATGATACGATGATTATACCAAAGTTATTCAGATTTTACTTAAAACCACACTTATTTATTATTCTATAACATTTATTTTACTTTTCCTAGAGACTTTATTTACTTTACTTAATAAACTTTTGTCAAAGTAAACAAAGTGAAATTTGATAAATGTATTTATATTATTATTATTAAACTCTTGTCAAAGTAAAAAAACTATTAAAATATTTGAGTGCAGTTTGATAAAGGTAAATTCATATTAGACTAATTTATATATTGAAACCATACTTCTGCTGAATTGGTTAAAGCAATCAATAGGCTAAAGACAAAATTTTAATTAAAAAAATGGTTTACTAATTTACAATTATTATTCGGCATAGTTGGTGATTTATTTGCAAATATTTACGAATGTTTTACATAATGTAATTTAGTTAATTAAAATCAAACATTTCATTGGAAAAAACCATGGAACCACATTTTGTCCGCAGAATTATTTATGTTGCATAATTAAAATGATGTGGAAATTATTTGCCTAATTTATGAGATAAAACGATCCGGACAAATTCAATTTAGCCTAGTAAGTGGTTAGAAAAACCAGCAGCAAAAGAGTAATTTAAATACCAGTCAAATCAGTGACCCTGGGCAAACGTGTTGCAGAGTTGTGCACACTTTGCAACAGCATTAGATGCAATTAATAAATAATGGGGACACCGGCATGGCATGTTAACTGAGCAGTGAGGTCCTAGTGTCCGTGACAAGTTGTCCTGCTAGATGGACTTAATGTCCTTAGCAGCCACTGCAACGAGACAACAAGTGACCGGCAGGGAAATTAGTTACGGTGTCGCACAAGGACAAGTGCAGGAATCAGTACTTCATCCTTCGTCCTTCGCCTCATGTGTGAGTGACTTAGTGGCCCGCATGCTTGATCCGTCATCATTAGTTGAATATGTCACATCAGACACTTGGCCCAATTGATTTAGTGTCGTGCACTGAGCTCAACAGCTCACTGGCCGTCTGCCGTTTGTCATCTTATATTCGAACTCGCCCTCGAAGTTGTTGGCCAACATTCCCCGTCGACACACTCCGTCCAAAGATCGATGGCAGTCAGCCATCGATGGCAAGTGAATTTGAAACACTAACTTAATTAGCTTCGGGCTTAATTAAGCTTACACCCAAACATCACTTCCAATCAGGCACTTGAAATAAAAATTTCCTAATACGATAATTTTAATATGATTAATTTTTATTTAATTTTTGGTCTAAAGATTTTTTATATCTTAGCGTTGATTCGATTGTTTTGTATTATTTTAAATTATTTTAAAGGCGTATTTCATTAGTTTTAAAAATAAATATAAGCCCATGTATTTTTGTAAGCTAACACAATTGTTTAGTGAAAGCCCAATTATTAATTTTGTTAGCAATATTTTAAGACTTAATCCAAAGTTATCAAAAAGCTTAGATATTATTTTTTGAGCAAGTGTAAAGCTGATAGCTAGGGCCAATAGTTTGATGGCTTAATACTTGACTCGGCTGCAACCCAGAGATGAATATTCATGATCTGCCGGCCGTCCTTTCTGACCACTTCAAAGTTCGCCTGCTCTGCAGTTTGTTCGACAAGCCAGAATTATAATTCCACCGCTCGCGTAACTTGCACCGACGTCAGTCTCATTAATTTTTGGGCAACTTGCAGTTTTAAAATTTAGTGCCGGCCCCCAGTTAATTAACACCTGAGCCTTGGCGGCGGCCAGCAAAGTGGGTGGAGAAGTAGGAGGAGCGGAGGGAAAGGTGAAAAGGGCGGGAAAAGCGCGGGGGCAGCCACTTCAGTCACACTTTTGTGCTCGGCAACCGTGTGCACTGACGCAAAGCGGAAGTGGCACTTTTCCCCAGCTGAAGCTGAAGCGGAATTCAAGTTGTGGAGCAGGAACGGGAGCGGGATCGGGATAGGGAGCTGCCAGCAGCAGGCGTATCGAAAACCGAAACTTTTGATGGAAAAAGTTTGCAACAACAAACGCATGTTGGCGGGCAAAAAGAGGGGACTGAATAGCCGTGGTAAGAGCGCCTTTAAACCATCAAGTAAGTCGCTATAATTCGCGCGCATCGCCTCATGAATTTTGATTCTTTCTTTGCATTTTCCCCACCGCCTGTGTTTTTTTATCGCGTTCACTTTAATCACCGTCTTAGGTTTGAATAATGAGTCCCGAGCAAGGTGTTCAAAACTGGGCCATAATCGTGCGAGGCTTAAATATATACGTTTTCTTCAATCCGATTAACTGAGCTGATATAAAGTTCACATAAGGTAAGGCAATTTTTGTTTAAAAAGTAGCCAAATCTTGCCATTAAATTGGCTTAAAATTAATATAATTTATTGGTTAAGATTCTTAGAAGATGTTTTTAAAAGTTTCGTTAAAGGGACTTTTAAAAATATATATTTTATATTAGGGTATTATGGTATTATTTAAATGTATTTGTAAATTTGGTTTTTCATTTAGGAAAGTCATTTTTTTTAGAGTGGTCAAATTTCATGTTATCGAAGTTTTTTAACTTATTAAACGGTTTTTTAAACAAGCAGATTGACATTAAATGATTGCCTAATTGTCAAGCACAATAAATCCAGAGTTGATGGTGCAACAAATAAAAGTTTTGTCGATGTGCAAAAAAGAAACTAAAAATGCAACAGAGGCAACTTCGTTTGGTTTTTTTTTTTGCTGATGCTGCATTTTCTTTCAAAGCTGGTGCCTTCTGCATGTTGATGACTTTGTCAACAACTTAAATTGTTTGGCGGCAATAAAATGGAGAAAAGTTTAGGTACATTTAGAACAGTAAGCGGCTCACATTTTCTTTTGATGTAAGCAAAGTTAGCCCAGTTAAGAAATATATAATCTGCAATCAAATCAACTTAAGTTTTATTAGTTTATACATTTTTTACACTCTTTAACAATCCATTTTTATTAACATTTTTAATGCCAGCGTTTGTAGATGCATAGTATCACTATTATGAAAATCATGCACAAGTTATAAATAACGCAAATCCATAATGGAACAGAATTGCAATTTTGCAAAAATCTATATGGACGTGCTTCATCCTCAGTAATAATTTCAATATTGGAGTCGTTATGATTTGACTGCGATTGCTCCTCATAATTTCCTTGGTCAGGATCATCCACTTCGATGATCCTGAAACAGGCTTCCTCCAATAAAACATCTTTGTCATCACTTGAACAATAAAAAATTAATGTACTTTTGTTTGTTGGCAATTTTGTTCAACTTTGGACTACCTCATTCTTTTTGCATTCACTATGATCTTCTCAGCTTCAAGGCTCTGGATAAACTGAGAATTAAGAAAGAGCACGTATCTCACGAGACACCAATACAAACAAAAGCATTCCAAGAAATCGAATTTATTAAAAGGGCCACACTAGCAACATATTATGAGCTAATTGCCAATTTTTAAATCAATTATTATTTGCTTTTTGAGTGTTTGGAAATATTATTAAAGCAGCAAGTATTAATGAATGTTCAAAAAAAATGCAAATAAATAGGACCAACCAGAAAGATTATTGATAAAGGGTTTACATTATAAAACTATTGTTTAGTTTATAAAAGGTCAAAAATGAATAAAAACTTATATATACAAAAATATTATATAATAACCACTTAACCTTAGTTTGAAAACACAAATGTAATATTAGTAAATAAGATTATTCATATTAATTATTTTGTATACACCAACGTGGGGAATTATGAATAATAAATTTGTATATTGTAAATAAAATAGAACTAATATTTTCAACAAATTTTTAGATATTGAACATTTTAAAATATTTAATAAAGCTTAAGATTAAAATCCAAGAACCCTGCATAAGGGTATTCGAAAAAATATAAACCAAAATTATCAGAGCGTAAAAAATGTTTAAGAGACAACATTTTAAGAGAGCCTTAAAAGAGCGTAAAATAAAACAAAAACTAAAAAAAAAACATAATTTTGAAGTGACACTTTAATTCTGGATATTATATTTCTTTATTTTCTTCAAATGATTTCTTATCTGAATTAGTGGATCTAAGGAAATATGTTACTCCTAACTGATAACCGATAAATATCTTTGAAGTGGATCTCTCTCCGCAATCTCGTATTTTGAAGTGATTTTCTTGTCACTCCGGGTCTCTTCTTTTCTCTTTTTGACGGGTTTCCTCAGACTTATATAGATATCTTATCTGAGTCACAAACGACACAAAAAGATTGTTAGCTCTTGACGGTTCTCTGTTTGCCTTGTTGTTGCCTCTATTAACACCTTTTGCCGTGGCGATAATAACGCAGACCCCAACTGATTGGTAATCAAGAAAAAAAAGGGAAAGAAAAAATCGGTGAAAATACCCGGAGACCAGCGGAATCGCTCTTTAGTCAAGCGGAGAACGCGTATCGAGATGGACACGGATGAGACAAAGGCGGGCACCTCGGGCCCAGGGACGTTCCAGGATGAGGTCGACTTCACCAGTGGCTACGAAACGCAGTATCGCAAAGAGTACAGCCCCTTGAAACCGATCTTCGTACCCCCGCCGGATAAGAAACACGCCTGGTTTCGCAACTGGTCCACCATTCTGATGATACTCTTCCTGTCCGTAGTCTTTATCGTGGGAACCGTAATGCTGGTGGTCCAAGTATTCACCGCCAGTCCCCTGCAAATCTTCATGATCGTGGCCATTTATGTGGCCATAGCCGCTGTGATGATTTGGCTAGAGGTGCAGTCTATTAAAGTACGATGAAATAACAAATTCAGTGACTAACTCGCTGCGTTATCATATAAAAATGCCGTCCCATTTTTCAACGGTGGCAATCGAACTGTGTTGTGCAAACAAATTGAAAGCTTAACTAAAAAGAAAACGACTTTATTGATTAGGCGCTAAGAACCAAAAACCCTGGCTTTAAAATAAGTTCAAAATAAAGAAATACAACTTAAAGTGCGTGTGTTTTTCATTGCTGACTAGACAGTGCTTATAACATTCCGTGATAAGTTTGCGTTTAATCAACTAATTATTTACAACCCATAAACGAATGTAATCTGGAGAGCAAAAAAAGTTACCCAGATAAAGGGCTTAGTGCCATTGAAGTGGCTAGGGAGATAAGCAAACAAAAGTTAATGGAACAACAATGAATTGTTTGCCACTATTTGAGCCATTTAACTGCAAAATAAATACACATTTTGTGTGGCAAAGTGAAAAGGACATTCTATAAAAGCGACAAATTAATTAATTCAATATTGCGAGCTTAACAAGGCATAGTAAATACAATAAATGCCCTTATCAATTAATTATTTAACCCAAATATTGTTATGGAATTTTAGTTAATGGTTGTAAAATAACAAGGAGTTGTATTGGTTTCTGTTTTAAAGCAAATTTGCGTTAATAAATGTGCCAAATAAACCACAATATATACATTTTGGTATCATCTGCTCTGTATTTAAACTTTCGCTTCCAACAACTTTCCCATAGAATTGGTTCTCTAACTATTTTCACATGTACACATTTCTAAATCACTTCTGTAATTGCTTTCTACATGCCAATGGTGTTCCCACTCAGACTCTCTTTTTTTTCCAAAAAATTTTCAAATTTTCCATGTTTTACAATATGTTTTTTTACTCCAACTTGTGTGTCATTTGGCTGGTAAAATTCTAGTTTAATAGCTTGAAATGCTACGAACATTTGGTCAGTACAAAAACAGCCGGACAAGCTCATTTAGCTCTTGAAAATGCTACAAAAAAAAACGTAACGCAACGTCCCATTAAACTTTAATTTCCGTTGACAATGGACGACACTTTTTGCTACTCTCCATTTTTTTGTACCACTCGAGACGGGGGTAACAGCTGACTTACCTTAATTACTCACAGGATCCCGAGCCATGCTAATTATTTGCAGGGTGCACTATTTCGCGAGCCAGACGCAGGCGGAGTGAAGAACGTCGTCGCCAGCGCATTTAATTATAGTGGCGCAAAGGGCGCTGGTCTTAGGCATTAATGCCATTTCCGGTCGCCGACCACCGGAGAATACGGCGAAACCTGGCGGGCAACACTTTGTTCTGCCTCAACGCAAATACACGGAATAGACGAATGATACCCTCGAAAATTTTTAGGGCTTTACGATAGTTTGGACCAGCGAAATAAGTCAGACAAAGACAAATGAGACTTTATTTACAAATGAATAAATGTTAATCGCTCTGGACAAGAAAAAAATCACAATCAGATAATTTTATTAAAATCCTTTGTCTAACAAAATATTAACAATACCTGGGAAAATAGAAAACAAAAGTATATATATGATTTTTTGGTTTAACACAAACAAGTCTGTAAATAAACTTAAAAAATACAAAAAAATATATAAATAAAATAATGTGTCAAGAAAAGCTAATGACTAAAATTATGAGAAAATTGTTTTTTTCATAAATATTATTACAAAAGAAGACTTAGGCTTACACAACTTAAATATATTGGGGATCTATGGCATATGTGGACTTTGGCTATACAAAAACATATATTTTCTATATATTATATTTTAAATGGGAATTATTAAACTAAGTAAAACGGACTATTTCTTGGGTACTATCCAGTCGGTTCCTATTTAAAGTTAAACTAATTTCTCATAGCGCTGACAAAGTACTAGGGACATGAAAAAAGTGGGTTTTTATTAAAGGCGCGTCAAAGCTACGCTTAAACCATTTTTTAGTGGGATATTATAAATTTCTGTTTTTATATTGCTTCCAGCTCAGGAACGAAAACAACCTTGAGCCAAAGCAAAATATTCAATATGCACATGCATTATTTTGCATTGATTTATTGCTCGGTCGGCTGCTGGCTCAATATTGCAAATAAAAGGCATTTAAACAAAAGCTGTCTACCATTTTTTACTCTCACTTTTTAAATATTTAAATAACAGCACGAGCGGGGAGAACCTCCATTATTCAGAGTTTGAACAAGCTGGCAAAAAAGGACACAAATGAGAAATTCAATTGCAAAGCAAGTGAAGGACAACTGTGGAAATGCAAATAAAATGTTTGGCTGCAACAGAATCCTAAGCTTCACTGGGGAGCAGCCAAGACATCTGACTCCTCTGCCATTTTGGTCACTGCCTGGGGAAATGTGTCTTAGAATTTGTTTAAGTAAATCTCACTTGAACGCTTTTCATTAGGCCACTCAGCAAGGACGAAAAGCAGTATAGCAGAATAGCAAAAATGAAATCAGGGCAAAACAAATAAATAAAATGTCCATGCATGGCTGTGCTATCTAACAATTGTATTCATAAATCAAACAAATATACTACCTAGATTTTAAATACTGAATGCTACTATTGGCAAAAGTATTGCATAATTCAACGCTTAATTTGGAATGTTCGCTTAAAATTTATCATAGATTTCGCTATTAAAAAGCACTTTTTCAGCCAAACACGTTCATGGTACAAAGCTCACAATACATGGTTATAATATGTTAATTTTTAATGTAAATTTGCCATACTTAAGCGGACTATTTTTTCGTATGCACAATGTGTAATTTAATTACGACAAGACTGGAAAGTGTGACCGCTTTAATTAAAATTTCACCAATTCCCATTTTAAAAAAAATGTTTATTTCCTGTAGTTTTTAACGCGTTGAAAATATTCCTTTTAACTTTAAACAATGCAAAGTTTGTGCTTTAAATTAAAGCGAAACTGGGGAAGCGGTTCATCAGGTCCAATGAGCTCTTCCATTGGCAAGCCAGCATCCATTTGAATATTCAATTAAGTCTAACTGCCAATTCAGTGATAAGACCCTCACTGAGTGACTTCCCACCCCAAAATAAATCCAATTGAGAGTCCCTGTCGAATAGCCTTGGAACATGGCCTACTGGTGATAATTTCAGTTAATACCAAAAAGGATGACACTCACAGCGTTGAGTAGTTTTCACTAAGGATCTCAAATATACTGTTATAAATAAGTAAAAGTTCTGCCTTCCAAATATTAGCTAAACTTAAATATAACTTGTTTATTTGAATGTATTTTATATTTAATTGCCTAAGCTTATCTTTCTTTTTATTACAATAAGATAATATTTTTTAATGTCTTTCAGCAGTTTAATTAATCTTACCTGAAGGAAATGATAAAGTCTAATGAATGTATTATAACAATTCCATCTAATAAGCAGGGCATTTTCTATTTTGAAATTTAGAAAAATATTTATCTAAGTGTGTGGTACTTTACACTTCCCTGCAGCGGTTCTTAAATCAAGTAAATTTGTATATATTGTGCTTGGATATATTCGGCAGAGTAACGAGCATGTCAAAGCATTTTTGTGACATCTTTTATTTATTTTATAACCAACAAAAGCCAACAGTCAAGAGGAGGCAAACAGCATGCATAAATTACCGCAGAGCGACACGAAGACCAAAGTCCTCCGGATTCTGCTCCTGGTGGCCAAAGCCATTGCCATTGCCATGCAATGCAGAAATTGTGTTGAAATATTAAAAAAGAGGCCAAAACGAGAACTGTGGCCGAATGCAGATGAGCGGGGACAACATTCTTTCTCCATTCAACTTTTTGGACACTTTTCAAAGCCCCCTTCTTTGCCACTTTTATTTTTTTTGTTGTATTTGTTGAATGCTAAAAAGGCCACTTTAGTTTTAACCACAAAGTTTGCTTTACTATGTGTATATGTGTGCATTCGTTCGGTCGACCTCGATGCACTTTTGTTTTCTGGCCAAGGGGCATCGGTCTTTCATGTCATTTAACCATGTTTCGGCCAGGAAAATTGGGCCTAGATCCTGGGACCCAGGATCTCTACGCAGCCCGGCGTTGATTGCCAGGCATTTAAAGTGTTTTCAATGTAAATCTATGTAAATACATGTTGCCAAATAAAAGAACGACTGTCGGGGTCTATGGGTGGAAGGCGAAGTGGAAACTCTCGTCTGGATAAATGGTATAGCCATATTTATTCGTTGCCCATGTGTGCACTCTTCAGACGAGTCCAAAGACTTTAAGCCAGTGGCTCCCTAAGCTCTGCGGCATATTTATGCACATTTTTTCGGTCCGTATTTTGCTTTCATTTCTGCACTTGTTTTTCTCTATTTTCCGTTCGCTCCCGTTTGTTTGGAAAACCTTGAATCGGTCGCATTGATTGGACGTCCTTGCTTTTGATTGTTCTATATTTGTTTTGTTTATATTTGCTTTCGGTAGCACTTGCTGCATTTAATGGCATGAAAATTAATTTGACATTTAATACGGTTGTTGTATAGGCGCAATACCATTTCTTTTTGCATTACGTATTCATTGTTTTTATGTTTACCGTATACAAACGAATTGGTGGCGCATATTTTATATATTGTTTTTATTGTCACGTGTCGCCTACCAGTGATGCCTGCATATTATAATTATGAATTGTGCAAATAAATCAGACAAGTAGCGACCTGTTAATGTGTTAATAATTGCCAGCCAAGTGCTGTTCAATGTGTTAATGCCTTGTTATTCTGCCTGTGTGTGTGCAGTGCGCATGGCGTATGCTTGATTAATTTGTTAATAAGGATAAGAAGTGGAAAAAATGGATTGAAAAATAAGTTGAAGAAAAACATGGACTATAATTTTATTATTTGACACCATTTTGCAATATAAATTCTGCAATATAAATTCTTATAAAGATTGAAGTTGTCTTAAAATTAAACTGTACAAAATTTTCTACTGATTTTACTATACTTTTTTAATAGGAATCCGTTATTTAATTTAATAGCATTTTACCAAACAGAGAACTATGCAGAGTAATATAAAATTATTTTTTAACAAAAAATGAAAACATTAATGTGTTAAGCCTTTTTGCTTAAATGAATTTGCATATTTATTGAACTAAAAAAACTTGATCATAACGTACTTCAGTTTGTTTTAAGTTTCCAATTTTTTTTTGTTTTATGAACATTACTGATAAACATTTTCGTTACAGTCAAGGAAACATGCTAACAGTTCGTATACGTAATATTTGACCACTTCTTGCTGGGTTCGTGTCTTAGATGAAAGAATAAGCTCTATTTTTAAATTGTAACTTTTCAAGCTTATGTCAGTTAAACTTACTCATGACAGTTTGTCTTTGCTAGCGTTGTTATATCAAAGCTGTTTGACTAAGTGAACAATTGTAAAAACAAGTTTATAAAATACTTAAAATACTTTTATTTTATATTTCTTCACTTACTTCATGCAAATTTCGTATTTGTTCACAATTTAAACTCATCTAGAGAGTGATGTAAGAAACCTGGCAACCCTGTCGCATAACCAAGGAGCCCAAAAAGCACCGACAAGCGACGCAACCGAAGCAAAAGCTCTCAATTTGTCGTCAATTTTCCGGCACAACAGACGCAACATTTGCCAAAAGAGCAACGCGCGAGCTGCGTAGAGCGGAAAGTAAAGTCCAGTGAAACCAGTAAAAATTGCAATGAAAAATTAAACAAGCCACTAAAAACCGATCCAATCCAATTACTATCAAATGCTCAATGAAATTGTGAAACGAAAAACAGAGAAAATAAACCAACCAATGTGGAAATGTGAGGCCGAACGAAGGAGAAAGAACATTTGTGCAAGAAAACTAAGTGCAATAAACTGTGAATAATCCCAGAATTAGCGGCTTGTGCATCGAGGGGAAAGTGGGGGAAAGTGGATTCGGTTCCATTCTATTGCTGAATGTCCAGATTTATATTATGCAAATTAATTTCAATTGGTTTGCACTCTGGACTCTGCGGCACTGTTTATTGTGGCTGCTGTTCCTGCTGCTGGTGTTTTTGTTACTCTTGGTCACTGTAGTATTGTGTAGTAGTCGTCGTAGTACTACTACTACTATCACTGTCACTATTACTACTACAAACTAAAATCCACAACCTTCCTGTTTTCGTATACACAAATTCGGCAATGCGATGCCGCTGAAGTTTTACCCAGACCCACTCCCTTTTCCTTTCCATTTCCATTTCCGTTTCCCCAATAACAAGTGTGTGCGTGCCTGGCTCGATTTACCGGCTTTTCTCCGGTTAAAACTATGAAAATTGTTTCCCAAGAATTTTTTAATCATACGAGAATGTAACGTGCCAAAAAGGACGAGCAAAGTTGGCAAGCTTTACGTGGAAAAGTAATTAAAAAGCAAGCCAAAGAAAGCTTGTGTTTATTGAAAAGAGAGTATCCGGAAACTATCCTAAAGATGCCAATTACAAGTCGTTTAAGTTCACCTTTTAAGTGGGTAATTTTTAAAATAGTTCCCCCATCTTGATTAAAAGTTCCGTCTGGCACTTAAGCACTGGGAAACGTTCGACATTTAATTTAATTGTCGATGCAGTTCCTCAAACTCATTGTGAGTAATGCAGTAGATTGCACAATTAAAGCATGAGTAAACTCAGAAAAGAACATTAAGCAATTTAAGCAATTTTAAACCTTTTTGGAGTTTTAAATGTTTTTTTTAGATTCGCCAGCCAAAACACCCACACCAGCTTAAATAAAATACCATTAATTTTGTAAGACATAAATACGAAGTCATTTTTTGTGGGCCTTAAAACTCTTACTTTTTCCATAACCATAAAAAAGTATTTCCGAGTTACACACATGCATAAGAGCAAACCAAAAATCGTCCATTAAAAGAAGAATTTTAATCAAGATAAAAACGGAGTGCTCCCTTTGCATACGAAATTCAGCAACAGCCGCAGCTTTAATATTGCTTATTAAAAGCCGACTGAAAGTATAAATAAACCCTCCGGCTGACAATAATATCAATTACAATATTGTCGACCGGCAGAGTCGGTATCCAACAATGGAAAAGACCTGCACGAGACTCTCATTAAAAACCACACAAGCACAGCACTCGCACACACAAAAGCGGTTCGAAAAGAAGCCAAAAATACAAAGTTGTAACAAGGCAAGACAACATTTATATAGTGCAGCAGTCAGTCGGTTGATGCTAAAGCTCGGCCACAAAACCTCGTCAGCACAATCACAGCAATTGCTGCCAGTCTCCAGACTGGAGACCACACTGAAAAAAAAATATGTGAAAAACTTGGGCATCATTAAAATTTCCTAGCCTATGTGTCCTTTCATTTTCAAGAAATATTAAGATCCCAGCAGAGATTTGAATTGCTCCTTATAATATTATATGATTGCCAAGAAAACCTATACCATTTTGTTTATCAAGAGAGGGTACAGTATTTTTTTCTAGTTTTATTATTTTGATACAATATATTATTTAATATTGATTTGGCAATATTCATAAAATTACCTTCTGCTTACAGTGTGGAATAAAAATAGTTTTTTTTGTTCTCTGTTGAAATGGAAATGGGAACGGGAATGGGATTGGGTTCTGAGTCTGCGAATGGAACTGCGAGCGATGGAGGGGAGCTCCGCAGTAATGGGGAACCTCTGACAGACCAGACAGCCAGTAGTCCATGTGAGCCGGGACTGCGGCGGTAGTTGCACAATTTTGCACAAAAGCCAAAGCATAATCATGAATAATGAGCGTTTGTGATAAGTGATAAATGCCCGCTGGCGAATGCACAGGGAATTTGAATAAGAAGGAAATTGTTTTCATCGGGTCGGCATGGGAAAACTTTTACAAAATTATACATTTTGCATAATATTTCAGAGAACGAAAGTAATCGTTATTAAAGCCATTTATTTTTATAGAATTACTGTTGCTTTCATTATAAACGTCGTTTATTGAGTACAAAACGTACTTTATTTTAAAAATGTGTTGTTTCCCTAATAACTATTTGTTGAATCTTTTTGACACTTAGTTTAAATAATAATTCTACTCTTAATTATAACTTTTTTAATTGCATTTTAATGTCACTTTATTGATATTTGTACTTAAAAAAACTGACTTAAATACCCAAGTTAAAAACACAATAACCTTAACTTAACAAATTTGTTTAGTTTTTCCTAAAAATGAAACAAAAAAACATTAAAATTTAAAAATTGCAAACAATTTTGAATGGTCTTTAAAAATCAACATCCCATTTGGTTATTTATAAATTATTTAAATATTCTTAAAAAGTTAAACTTTTTACAGCATACTTTTGGACAGATTTTCAAGAGATTTCACTTCACTCGGTATTTATGTTACTTACTTAGCATTACAAATATAAGATGTTTTAAATGATTACCCACTTTTTTAAAGCCAAGTACTCCCGATTCAAAGTTTCCAGACGAACAGGTTGCCGTTGGGGCCTTAAACTGCGACAGAGGCATCCCATTTCCCACCGGGCAGTCACTGAGCCCGTTTTCGTCTGCTTCTCGTCCGACTTGTCTGTTGTCTCAGGTTTTTGCTCTGGTCTTCCAGTCGGGCGATTTGACCACCCCAGGGGCTCACAGTATAGTTTGAATCGGGAATCGGTGCTGTTCAGTTCGCAAATGCGCGCCAAAGGTGCTAAGCTTAAGATGAAAAATTCATTAAAAAAAACAAAACACATTTTAAAGTGTTTCAGTTCACCCCAAACTTCCGGATTCTGGGAAAAACTTAGTTTATTTGAGACCCTTTTTCCTAGTAGATCGGATTGATGTTTTTCGCAGTTCTTTTTTCTGGACTTATTTACGCCGTAGTTTTCCGTCTAGTTTTGTCAACTTTAATTGAAATTAATTTACTTTCTTCATATACTATCTGCCAGATAAATGTATCTGTATCTGAATCTGTATCTGTGTGCACATGCCGCAGAGTGAACAGCCTTGTATGCGATCAGATTTGAGCGCAGAGGTCAGCAAATAAACAAATTGTCGCACATTATGGTTTATTATACAGACACGATTCATATGCAAAATGAGAATAAAATGTGAGAGGGCCCATCACGACTAGAAGTGTGCAAATTTAACAATTCCTGATACCCATCTGACTGGCATCCCATCGTAAAAGTGCCGCCCTTTTCGGATTTTCCTCAGACTGCAATCGCAATCACCAAATGCAAATCGCAGCGTGATGAACTCAGGCAAACTATTCTTATTTTATATATAACCGCACAGAAATTCGTATTTATAGAGAGGCGAAAATCGCGATACGATTTGCATACAAAACACTTGAATACCCGCATTAAGTCGCGTAGGCAACGCCTGGAATTTCAATAAGTTAAAAGTTTGCAAACTAATACAAAATCACCCCTTCTTCCTCCAGCACTTGACAATTATGTAAAGCTTCTCTCGCCCGAAAACAAGTTTGCAAACAACAAAAAATGAATAAACTCGTGGTACCGTAAAACTATCAAAAAACTGAAGAACAAGTGGAAAACACTCGAAGAAAACAACAAACTAAAAGACTCCGAAAGTGCTAACAATTAAAAACAATTTCACAGTTTGCTAACGAACAAGAACAGAGAAAACACAAAATATAATAAGACCAAAAACGCATCTTGAATGTCGCGCAAAATGTTGCAAGTGCCGGTGGCAACACTCGTGTTGCTGTCGCTGCTGCAGATTGCCGATGTTGCTGCTGTCGCAGATGCAGCAGCAGCAACTGCAGCAACAACATCCACAACGACAACCGGAATCGATGCCAGCCTGAAGAATGCCAAGCTGATTGAGGGCAAAGTGCTGCCCGATTTGGCCATCCTGCAACGCGTTAACCAGGAAGACGAAAAGTGGCAGCAAGTCTACCGGTTCATCGACGATGGCTTTCCCGTCCTCGAGTTGTACGGCTACAAGCCAAAATCGGGTGAGTAAATGCCAAACTGAATGGGCAACTGAAATGCACCAAAGAATCGGAAATGTTTGGCGACAGTAAATTATAAAGAGTATATTCTATGAAAAGTAACCTATTACATTTTTGGAACATGGTTGCAAATGTACACTCGTAAAAATGAAATATAGAATACGGTTCATACATTTATTTCCAAATTTAAAACATCTTAAAAATATTGCTAAAAAACTACTATACAAATGTATAAAATTTATAAAAATTAATATTGTGTGTTTTCACTTAATAGTCGTTATTAATATGTATATGGACTATCAAAGTTTGCAACAAGTATTTCTAATTATTTTATTTCGATTGTGTTTTTTATAAATATTAAGTATAAAAAAAGTGTAGTTAACCACATATTTGATTGATTAAGTCGATTTTATCAAAAGTATTTATATATAAAACTCTGCTAAAAACAGGGACTACAATAGTTTTTTATGATTAACAGTCTCAAAGTGCTTAAGTGCTGCAGTACTGTTGAGCAATACGCTATTTGTAAACATGGAGAAAATCCATCCAAGTCTAAGCATTTCCAAAATAAGTCCCCGATCCAGACAAAATACATTATTTCTATCAGCTGTTGCTTCCATTACCTCTCTGTAAAGCCACAGCATTTGTGTCTAAAAAAATAGATAGCAATATCAAATATAACTCTTATTAAGTCCAACTTGCTTCAGTCAATAATATCGAAATTTTGTTAATATGGTCAAGCCATTATTAACGACTACAAATCAATGATTTAAATCAGCTTTAAAAAGTTTTTCTTAAAAATATGTTTGCTCACCTGTCGCTGTGTCCTGAAGTTGGCTTTAAGTTGGCCGAATGTTTTCTCGGCGGACTTGATGGCCACATTGACATGGAGTAGGGTAATAGGAAAAACGAAAGTGGTCAACAGACTCTCCCCAAGGTGACGTACAGACTGCTTATCGTACAGGTTCAAATGGAAGTTTCCTATGAAGAGTATGAAACTCTCCAGGAAAACCGTCCACACAAAAGGCCGGGCCAGACAATCAAAATTGTGCCTAAGTCTGATCAGGTTTCGTTGGAAAACATGGAGCTGGAATGATTTTCGATTTCTGTTTGGTTGCACATGGATATCATAGCAGGCATATAGAATCAAGATGCCCAAATGGGCAGCGATGGACAGTAGTAGCGGCTGAATGAAAATGAAAAGCCATTTGAATTGATGTAGAACTATGTCCAGCTTCGATCCAAAGTGAAAAGCAATAAGCGAAGTTTTTCGCGGCACAAAGGTAGCGATCGACACTCTGTACGTTTGGATGACGAAAAAACACCAGTTAATTTTCGGCGCACGTCCACAGATTTTCTCATAGCTATAATAGATTCTAGAGAACCCATTAAGGACCTGCCGCATCAGGTTACGATGATACCTTGGGATTGAGAAATATTGTAAAGATAACTTAAGTAAAATAAAATTTTAAAAATATTAAATTCTGCCTTAAGCGGTATTCCCATTCAGTAGAACTATAGAAGACTATAAGAATGTCTGTCTATATTTTTGACAACGTTACCTGTAGTGATAGGCAATTCCAATGCTGATGCAAAAGTTCTGGTTCGAGGCGATGGTCATTCCTATTCTGTAAATAAGATTCAGAGGCCGTTCGCTTCCAGGCTTGGGATCTGACATTACGCCAATGAACTCCACCAACCAGAAAATTGAGTGCATCAGGAATATCACCAGCAGCCAGGGTCTCAACCAGAATCTGTGCATCGCCCCGACTAGAAAATTAATCTTCGGGCTCAGTCTGAATATCCGCCTGTCTTCGACATATCTGTAAATATTGCAACCCGAGAGCGTTGTCAGAAATTGCAGCAGCTGCAGAACGCTCGTTAGACAGGACATGGCGCAACTGACTCCCCAAAATAGCTAGAGACAGCCAGCAAACTCCGAAAATGGGAAAATGGAAATGTGTGACGTTGACAAATGACTTCGTTCAGCTGTCTAAATGTTGATCATAAACAAAAAATACTCAATTTACTTTTTACCATGTAAGGACAAAAAGGCAAGGCGAATCGTTTAATACTGTTTTTAGAGAATATATAAGAATATTTATTTAAACAATTAGAGTTTATGTTTTTTAAAAAAATTATGTATTACTCGCAATAAACATACTTTTTACATCGGTATGAGAAAAATATAAACAAATGTTGGTGTATTACATAATTCATGGTAGAATAAATATGCATTTCACTGTTGCAAGTAAAAATAAATAAAATAACTGTTTTTACGCACTTTTAGAACAAAATAAAAAAACTAGATACATTTATGTTGGAAAAATGATGACATATTTAAAGTGAATAAGAGCAGCAAAAACATTAAATTCTAAATTGGGTATAAAATTACATTATATTAAATTAAAGTAATTTTTTAATAAATTTTAAAAGATATTACTTTAGAAAAAATTATAAAAAGAATAATATGAATATGATAATTGGTAATGGAAGCATAATACATAGATAAACAGGAACTCGCAGCAAAAACCGCGATGATAAATTTCCTTATGAATGTTAACATTACTTACACACTTCTGAACAGAAGTAAAAAAACATAAAGTAATTAACAATCATTGAAAATAGCTTCTGACACACCCCCCAACATAACAATCCGCAACGCGTGTGGCATAATAATTTGAGTTAATTAAAGCTACGGAATTCCGCAGACTACACACCCGAATAAAAAATAACAAATTATGTACCTCAGCGGCAGGGCCCAAAGTTAATTACTTGATTAGCATGCAGACAGGTTTGGGGATTCAGGTGCGCTGAGCGCAGCACTTAGCCGTAAATGAAACGAAAACAGTTTACATTTTTAAGTGAGCAATTCCCTTGGTAACTGTCTCTCCGTCTCCTTTGCATGTTCGCTCGATTCCGGTGGACATTCCGGACATTTTGGCCATTCCAGACCTGCCGTACACACTGATTGTGCCCAAAATCGATGTGCGGAGCATTGAGAAACCGCGACTGAAGGAGTTCATGTTGGAGCATGTGGTGCCTGGGAAAATCTTCGACAGCTACAGTGCCGCGGCCAACGGCAATGGGAACAGCAACGAGGAGGAGGAGTCCTTCGGCAATGGGAACGGACACAAAATCGTTTTCCGTAAATTGGAAAAATCCCACAACAATGTTTGGCTACTCAATGGCCAACAAATACTCCACAAGCTGCGTATCAATGAGAACCTGATGGCCATTGCAATTGATGGTTATTTGGGCGATAGGAAGTCCCCCTACTCCAAGCGCAATATCCAGGAAACGAACAAGTGAGTAGGACCCACCATCACCCATTCCCGCACAGTGGACTGAAATCGTGTCATAAATGGTACCGCATTAACATATTAGGTCATCCGATTTTCGATAGCCAAAAACAAGCACCAAAAATTAATAGAAAATAAATTCTTTTTATTAAAGATTAAAAATTTTTCTTTTTTTAAAGTCAACAATTGAAAATTAAAAATGTACAAACTACTCAAGAAAATATAACATATGAGATTGTAAAACAAATAGTAAGATCAATTAATGATTTTATTAAAAATACTTACTGGCACTTATCAACTTTTAAGTTTTTCTGATATCCATAAAACCACTGTAGAGCTAAGTTCCTAGTCCTAGTTTGTTTGCGGTCAAAAGTGCACTCATGCGAAATTTATCAGTCGGCAAACAAAGTTTTTGCTGGTCCAACTTTTTGCACACACACACACACACTCTAACTATAGTGGGTTTCCCCTTCCGCACTTTTGACCAAGGCCTTCAAGAGAATCTCAATCTCAATCAATGGGCCCACCATTCCACCACATCTCCATAATCATCTACTGCATATTCATTTTACACAGAAAAACAAATTTATCAAATTTAAAATAAGAAAACAAGAGAGAACGCTATAGTCGGGTGCCCCGACTATCAGATACCCGTTACTCAGGTAAAGGGAGTGCGAGGGAGATGGAGATAGAAACTTTGATCACGCATAACTTTTTAACGAATGGTCCGATTTGAAAAATTTCTTCTACATTTCGATAGGTATTGATAAACACAATAAAACTGCATTTTTACTTTTCCGAAATATTTAAATTTTTAAAATCGTATTTAAGCGATTGTGGGTGTTAAAGGGGGCGTGGCACCTTTTTGAAACAAACTTGCGCTGCGTAGGAACTCCTAGAATCTGCATGCAAAATGCCAATCTTCTAGCTTTTATAGTTTCCGAGATCTCAGCGTTCATACGGACGGACAGACAGACGGACAGACAGACGGACAGACGGACATGGCTATATCGACTCGGCTAGTGACCCTGATCAAGAACATATATACTTTATAGGGTCGGAAACGCTTCCTTCTAGCTGTTACATACTTTTGCACGAATACAATATACCCTTTTACTCTACGAGTAACGGGTATAAAAACCAATAGGGTGTTTGCCCCAACTTCTCGCCTTTTAGAACATCATTTAGGATCATCATCTTAAGTTTAAGTATGACATCAAGCTGATACCCACATTTTTCACACAAGAAAACATTTTAATAATTTGTTAAATTTAAAAAAAAATCAAATTTAAATTATTTAATTTGAGAAAAGACGATAATTTTTTCACGTGCATTTTACAGCCGTTACAACGACCCCCAACCACTGGAACAGCCGAACATTACGAATGCACATGCAAAGGTGGAGCCCATTATCAAGGAATCGAAGGCCAGTCCGTTGATGTCCTTTTTGGCCAACATGAAGACGGGCACCAAGGTGTTCCAGCACTTTCTCTCCAAGAGCAATCTGACCCGCATTATGGACGACAACGCGTACACGGTGCTGATCCCATCCGACAACGCCTTCCAGCGCTGGCATCCCATCGACTGGGGATTCTATCCGTTTTCCGTGCCAGAATTCACCGAGTCGGTGCTTAGGAACCACTTCCTGCCCATGCAGCGACCCCTGCGGCTGGCCGATGTCCGGAATATGGACGAGGTCGTTGTGCCCACCATGGGTGGCGAGGATGTCGTCTTCCACGGCCAACGTAAGTGGCTCCCATAAATTACATTCCCAAATTCAATTTATGACAACGCTATGTGGTTCCTCACCCCCCTCCTTCGATAGCCACCCCCACGGTGAATAATGTGAGCATTATGGCCGACTACAACCTCTCCAATGGCAATCAGGTCTTCATTATCTCCGAGGTGCTCTTCGTCACCGAAGCTGTGGTCTCCAAATTGCATCAGGTAAGCTGATTATGCCTAATCCACACGGCGGAAAATAGATTTCCATGAGGTTAATGCTCGGAATGTATTGTCATTTACACACAAGGAAAATTGATTTATATGGGAAAATATTCGGGTGCGTTTAAGGAGGTCAAGGCTTCTGAAAGATTGTAAATAAATGTTATATTATATTTATTACAATATTACAATTATTTTAATATAAGTTTTGAGTGATAATAAACTTAATAGATCATAAAATTAAACTTACTGCAATCTAGTATAGTTACCTGATATTTTTGATTTTCTATTTTAAGTGCTGTTGTCATATTATACGAATACATTTAAATTGTAATATTAATATAACTGTGGACTCCCTATAGATGCACAAGGACAAGGAGACACCTCCATTGTTGGCCTTCCCCTGGTTTGGAGCACAGTTCCTGTCCCATTCGTTTTTGGCTTTGGAGAGAGATCCCCGATTTACTCAGATTACCAGGTAAGAATTCCTGAATTTAAAAGTAAAGAAAGTATTAAATGTTATTTTACGCTTTGCAAAAGATACCTAAACAGTGCTGAGATTGCTCCGCACATTTCCGGAGCCAATTACACGTTCTTTGTGCCAGAGGATCGGGCCTTTGAGAAGTTAGGATTCGACAAACTATCTGATGAGGTTATGGTAAGTATTTTAAAGACATTGCCTTTGAGAATTTAAAATTAGAAACCTCTTTATTTCAGGCCTCACAACGCGGTGTGAAAATGTTGCTGAATCACTTCGTAAAAGGACGTCTCTACAATCGTGATTTGCGGGATAATGAGGTCTTCGAGACGATCGGCGGTGGCCATATAAAGATCACCCGCAATCCGGGCAGCAACTACACCAGCGTGAACAATGCCCAGATTACGGAGAGCGAGGTGTTCGTATACAACCTGGGCACCATGTACTACCTGGACGACATCCTGTACTCGCACATGCTGCGCGACTTTGTGACCAAGTCGACCAAGACGAGATCCAATCGGCACGGCAGCGATTCCGGCGGAGGATCACGGAGCACCTCGCGACCCAGCGACGTGGAGATCGTGCCCAACGAGTTCGAGGGGGAGCACAACGGCGGCGACTATGCCATCCACGGGGATGACGAGGACTTCGAGGATGAGATTATCACGCCCAAGGCGCTGCCCGTCCAGATCTACGAGTTGCCCAAGTAGAGAGCGGGATTCAGAATGGGTGGAAAATATATCGCGGATGTAAATGCGAAAATAACATAGGCGGCACTTCTTTGCAATGGTTTTAGAAATATCCATCATCCGGTTTTTACTTTCATGGAGTTCGATTCAATTTCTTTTGCGGATTAATCAGTCTTGCGGGTTGCAATAGTAAATCCCTTCTAACAAATACTAGGTTTTTTGTCGCTTATTTTATTTTGGCAATTAAGTAACGATATTTGTGTGATTTTTTTTGCAATCGATCATGAGAATGGGAGGCGAGGCGCTTAAAGCGTTTTTGTATAGTTCTGGGCTAATTTTTTTAAAGCATTTCTCTAGTTTAGTTCTTAGTTCTTCGTGTATATTTTAAGTTTAGCATTGAACGAGGCGGTGAAACGAAGTATACTACAAAATCAACATCAAGAGCAGCAGCAGCGACATCGACAGCGACAACAAATAATATATAAAACCTAATCCTAAAGAACTTATCAGCGATTTAGACAAAGCTTGTAGACATAGCGAGAAATTGCAGCCAAACAAATTACTACAAATATTCAAGAGTAAAGCATTCCCGTAATATTCGAATTAGAAGCGAAATTTCAAGAAAAAATATAAACATATACGTATACTATGCAAATTCAATTAGCGCTCATCAGTGTTTATGCTTTTTTGAGTCTATCCATGTGAGGGAGCATAGCGAAAACATATCGGCTAAATCAGAGAATCGACGAATCGGAAAATCGGAGGATCAGAGGATCGAACCTCGGCGTTCGAAATTCACTTCGAGAGAATTCCCTGGAGGGCATTGGCAGCGGACGGGAGCGAGGCAAGATATATCTATAAATACGAGTATATTACGAACAAATATTGTATTTTTTAATTTAACGGTATTGATATTTAATGTATCTGTGTATATGAACAAAACAAAAAGCAATGAGAACGAAGCATCCAATTTTATAATAGTTTGTTAAAATAAAAACAAAAATCTTCCAGAAAAACAACAACACCAGCCACATTTCGTTTCGTTGAACTATTTTATTATGAATTAGTTAAACTCAATACACATGTAAGTATGATTATATATTTATGTACCGGCTGTGGAGTATTGTATATGCCTTTGTATATATATGCATGTAAATAATACCTGTAATTCTAATTGACTTAAACGATAGGTTTCTAATGGAGAGCTTGTACAATATTAATCTAAATATTATTGTTTCGATTTAAAGCCATAACTTAAAGTACTCAAAGTTAGCAAGTGCATAAGGAAATTGGAGTAGGCAGTGGAAAACGAAACGGAACTATCATATCAAATGCATATTGCTTATGGGTATGCCTTAAAATGGATACGGAGAGAGTGATATGATATGGCTCTTAGGTTTAACTATAACTTGACATGACACACAAAAATTCTGTTTTTAACTACATCTACGGTATGCAACATAATATTCGATCTTGAGCTTTGGCTGGTTACACAGAGTCGCCCGTTTTTATATATTAATATCAAATTCTACAATGTTTCATTTTGATTTTTAAAATGTAATTTTAATTTGCTCGATTTTCTTTTGGTCTATTCTTCCTTTTGCTGTTATTATTTTGTGAGATCCAATTTTAAAGAGCAGCGTTGGTTTAATTTTGTTGTTAGCGTGGAATTTTAGGTTTTAAATCTTATCGCAAATTTGTAATTAAATACTCAAGTTAAAACTAACTTGGTTACTATAAACTGGTATCACTTTTGATTCAAAAAAATATAAAACCCAGCCTATATTCCATATAAAAACGTACAACTTTTAAATACAATTTTTAACAGCAGAGAATGAGTGAAAATTAAAACACAAAACGCTGCTCTGCCAGAACCAACTTATTTTATCCATTTCTAATCATTATGCTCATTCACGTTGCTGCTGTTGTTGGTAGTGCCTGGAAGGTTGTTTTGACTGCTGGTTGTCTCAGTCTCATTATCACTCAAGTTCAGAGGATCCACAGATTCACTGTCCAGTTCCGGAGGAGCTAGCTCAGCTACTGCTCCACCCACAGCTCCCTCGAGCTCTTCGGCAGGCGATGGCTTCGGCCTGAAGGTGTTGTTCTCTACGTTTAGTTTGTAGTTCTTGTAGGGATCCGGGGATCCTGGAGGCTTCACCTGCTGCGATTGCTGCTGGGCCTGGGCTGCTTGACGCTGAACACGCCTTTGCTGATTGCTGAACGTGGGACTTTCCGATCTGGCCCTTTGCAACATGGGACGCTGCTGATGATAGGTGGGATTCGGATCGTAGTCACGTGACCTGCCGAATTCAAAGCCATTCTGCCACTGAACGTGTACATTTTCGTACGAAGGATCTTCGTATTGATAGTTTGCTGCCACTCTACTGGGGTTTCTTTTCTCCGCCCCGTTCCTCAGGCGACTCAAAGTGCTGTGCAGTGGGCGAGCCGAGGCATTGATGTCCCTTCGAAGGGTGGATGATGCTCCGGCTGCCGCACAAGCTCCCGCGCAGGAACTTCTGAATCGCACCATGTCCTGGGGAAGACCACTCAAACGCGGAGTTCCGTACGGATTCGACATCTGGGACGCCACCGAAGCGGTGTCGCAACTAACGCAGTCTCGGGAAAACATGAAATTGAAGTCGATCACCTTGCAATCGGGTCCTTGGCCAATCCACAGCGGAAGCCATTTGTTCACAAGTAGCCATTGCAAACTGGACTTGGAGATGCGATTTAAAGTCCCATTTGCATTTGCATCTCCGGAAGAACTGGAACGTGCTGCTGTTGTGGAAGTTTTCTTGGCCAAAGTTACACTTTTTCCCGATCCAGTGCTTGTAGTTTTATCTAAAACTGGTGATGCAGCTGTGGACGACCCTCCCGACTCCTTGGCCGCCTTGCTGGTCGTTTTCACCTTCGGAATGGCGCCCGTGGTCCGATTGGCAAGGCTATTAGATGAGCTTGGAATATTGTCCCCCGGAGAGTGCTCTTCAACGGCTGCTGCCACTCCGGCCGCACCAGCGGAAGAGGATCGGGTGGCTCGCTCCATGGACACATTTGGCGTTAATGGGGAATTGTGGGCAGCCATTGCAGCTGCTGCTGCTCCAGACGTTTTGTAAATATTCGTCATACTCTGCGAATTTTCGCCATGCAAGCAGCTAAAGAAACTGGAAGCACTGTTTTTCACAGGAACCTTTACATTCGCGTACTCAACGGGAACAGCTGAACTAGCACCGCCCATATAAGCCTGACAATTTGGAACATTGCAGGTGCTACTTCCCGCTCCGCCAGTTGCTGATCCTCCCGTTCCATTGGCATTCAATCGAATGTGACCGACCGTCCCGAAATGCGAGTGTCCCAGTACTGCGTAATGTCCTCCCAGATTGTAGTGATCGATGTTGCCGCAGGAGGAGCTCAGGTGTCTTTCAATTCTTCCGATTCCATGACCCAAAACATCGAGACGTGTATAGAGCGGCACTCGATTGGCAGCGGATGTGCGGTACAGGGGCTCATCCCGAATCTGCTCATAGATGTTCTCATATCGCATAGTTCCCGCTCCGGCATAAGGCAAATTGTAGCCATCTGTGGACTCTGTGTCGTCGAAGCTGCGCTGCCGTTGACAGTTGGATCGGCTGTTCGTATAAAGTGGAGTGCAGCGAAGTCCACTGCCACAGCGATTTCCTGGGGGAGAAAAAGTATGAGTTCAGTGTAAGTTTAGTCAATATTGCAGATTGCTTAATAAATAAATTTATATTTGTCTAAATAAATTGATCCCATATTTTAGTTTTATATTTGATGGACTGGATTTAATATTAATAATTAGCACGAACTTCGTTTGCCTATGCTAACAAGTATTTCCTTTTTGTTTGTTCTTCTTGCTTTACTTTTCACATCACGATAAATTTCAAATAAAAGTTTGCATATAAAATTCACTGAAATCATGGCCGAATTAATACGCAGTGAAAGTTAAACCACCGCCTGCATTAAAAAAAGGGTTAAGGTAAATATAACTTACTGCCTATTGTCAATAAAACCAATTCGACCTAGAGACTTCAATTTAAGTATTATCGAAAATGATTAAAGTTAGTTATCGTCTTAATTAAATACGACTTCCGATTTTAGATTCTCACCATTTTGCATGTCTATGCGAAAGTTTCGCCTATATCCGAGGCCGGATCTCACGGCTCTTGGAACATCATAAGCGGCTGCTGAGCTGCTGGATCCAAGGATTCCTCCCGCTGCAGATCGATCATACAAATCGTTTCTATAGTTATTCATGGGCAGTGTGCGTTGAGGTTGCTGCTGTTGTGGCTGTGCTTGCTGTGGCTGTTGTTGTTGTTGTGGTGGTAGTAATGGTGCTGGTGCTATTGGTGGCTGCGGATTGTTGTTGGCATTGACTTCAGATGGCGCTGGTGGTTGTTGCTGCTGAATTTCCTCGGCATTTGCAGGGGCATTGGCATTGACATTGGCATTGGCGACGGCTGCAACTTGGATGCTGTTGCTGCCGCAGTTGTTGCTGTTATTGTTATTGTTGCTGGGCTGGCCAATGGGCGCATATATGTTCTCGTAGTGCGGATGATTCGGCTGGGGAGCTTGAGCCGGCGCAGGTGGAGCTGCAATGGCTGCAGCCGCTCCAACCGGCGCCAGATTGCCGTAGATGGCGCCACCAATGGCGCCCTCCATCGTGCCCTCCGCCTGGCTATTCTCATCATCCAGCAGTGCGATGGCCAGCGAAGCTGCTTGGCTAAAAAAGAGAGTAAAAGAAATTAGGATATGATTTATTAACTACGTTTTTTAATGCACTTACCGGGCCAATGCACCCTGCTCTTCCATTCACATGGGCTTATCGATCATACACACGCCCGCATAGCTGCGTCCGATGGTCATCAATGCCGGCAGTATCCTCCAGCTGTCCGAGTCCGGGCAGTAGACCTCAACGGAGGCGAGGTTCGAGGTGCCATCATCGCCACCAACCACATACAGCAGGCCGTCGTGAGCCACCACTCCCGCATTTCGCCGGCAGTAAGACATATCGGCCACCGAACGCCACGAGTTCGTTTCACAATCGTATGCCTCCACGGATCTCCTGACCATGGGACCATCGTGTCCGCCCACAGCATACAGGATATTGTTCAGCACTCCCACTCCAGCGCCACTCCTTCGCGAACTCATCTCCGACACAGCCACCCAGATGTCCGTGTCCGGATTGTAACGCTCCACCGAGGATAAGCACTGACGGGTGAAGCCATCGTAGCCGCCGACGGCATAAAGGAGTCCATGGACCACGCCTACGCCAACGGAGCTGCGTCGCGTAGACATGGAGGCGATAAACCGCCAGATGTCAGTCTTAGGATCATACATCTCTGCACTGGACAGACCCGTTGTGCCATCGAATCCTCCCACAGCGAAAATGCAACCGTTCAGAACAGCAACTCCTAGAGTGGAACGCCTGGCCTCCATGTTGCTGCAGTTGGCCCACTGATCCGTCGCCGGGTCATAGACATCCACAGTGCGCACACGCAGGGATCCATTAAAGCCACCGACAGCATACACCTTGTCACCCAGGACACTTAGGCCGGAGCGGCATCTGCGGTTGGGCATTTCGGCAGCCTGGTACCACTTTTCCTCCCGCAGATCATACCACTCCACGGAGCGAATCGCTTTGGGTGCTTGCCCTCCGATGACGAGCAGAATCTTGGGCATTCCCACCGGCTTCCTGGGCACCGTTCTGGCGGACTTTGTCTCAGTGGGCAGTAGATGATAGGTCAACGCCTCAATGATGAGATTCTTGCACACGATATTGCCCTCGAGGAGTAGCTCCTTGTCCACGCGCTGTGTGATGTACTCCTTGGAGAGGAAGGGCAGGCGCACGTGCTCCATGAGGACAGAGGTGAACTGCTCCCGCATCGGAACATCGTAGCGCAGCCAGGCAATCACGCACTCGTAGACACGCTCCTCGTTCGGGACAGAAATTCGGTCGTTGCCTATCAGGCTGATGACCTGCTCGTGCGAGAGGTTCAGAAATTCATCGAACTGGATCACCTCGCTGGAAATAAACCAAAGACAAGCAGTCAGTACTGGGGCACAAGTAATGAGGGAAGTGGAGTAAGTCAAAATTCAATTAATCGACAGCAAACCGGTTCAATGAGTTTAATTACACATTTGCTTTCGATTTTGCTCCTATTTACAGTTAAATACATATATTAGCTGCATACTAATACTAATCAATAAGATCACTAATTTATTTAGGGACTGCTTTATTATATATAATAGTATCCTATTTTATAAAAATTCTCTACAAAATGCACCTTTTCCAATAATTGTTTTAATCGCGCTTTTAGTTTTTCTACAGACAAGTTTCTTTAAAATATAATTTAAAACGTGATAGCATAAAGGCCTCAGAATTGCTTCAATAAATAGCTACTCGTAGACACCGGTACGTGATTGTCTTGCAAATAACGAGTTGGCAGTAATTTTTAATGGCTGACTACAAATCATTGAAATTAAAATAACTAAAAATAATACCATATTATTTCAGTCGTAATCTTTGAGAGACACTTTATACGTAATAGGTAACTGATCCCATTAAATAAATAACCCTTTATAATCTATTATTGACTTTTACTACGCCAGTCATTATCTCTCAATTTCTTTGAAAGCAAGTTGAATCAATAGTCAATCATTAAGTTTACCCGCACTTGATTTGATTCCCCAGCAGATATACTTTGAAAATAAACAGAAACAGTAATAGGTTCCAATCGGCTAACAAACAAATCAAAACAATTCTATACTTTTCTGCCCCATTGCGTCATTCGTATACTCGAACCACTCACTTAAAGTGCTGCTCGATGTAGGTCTCTGCGTAATTGAGGAGCTCCACGCAGGCATGGAGATCGGCAAATTCCCGGATGCCCAGGCAATTACTCGCGTCCAATTGGGTTTGCAGGAAGTCGCAGCAGGCATCGCGAACATCCGTGAGTTGCAGCAGATTGGCGGCCGTTAAGAGGACCTGCACATTGTCCTCGTTCACCTCCACGGTGGCAGTGTACACGTAGTCGATGAGCAGCTCCAAGGCCCTGGCATCGACACTTTGCAGGGTGATCCTCGCCTGGCGCGACTCCTCGAAGCTGTTGAACATCGCATAGAAGTACGGACTGCAGGAGGCCAGCACCATGCGGTGGGCGTGGATCTCCACATCGTCGGCCACTAATATCACATCGCAGAGCTGTTTTTGTCTGAAAATTTAAAGGGAAAATCAGTTAAAAATGTAATATTTTTTCCCTTAAGTAATTTCCTTGAAATTAACGACTAGCATCAACAAAATTAATAACTTTTAAGTCCATTTTAAACAAATTAAAAATTCCATTGAACAGTTTTGATTGCCAAACAAACAATTTAAGATCGTGGCAAAAATGTTCAAGGCTAGAAATGTTTGTAAATTGATATGTGTGTATTTTTTCGCAGAAGGAGACTGTTTTGGTTCGTAAATATGAAATCTGGTTATTATTTCGCTTTGTTTGCCAAGTTTTGCGCCATAAAATCTTGATGAGTGTACATAAATTTAACATCTTTTGTCTCTGAAATCGAAATGGAATGTGGGCTGTGATTATATTACAAAGTTTTATGACAAACATAAACATTTCTTTTTAGAATTTATAGATTGCATCCTCATAATATATGCGGTTTCCCAGATCTTTGTTGAAATGCAATTCCAAACAATAAACATAAATCCAGTTTACAACGCATGGTTTACTTTTTGGGTTACACCACATTCACTTTTGACGCCGATTCCCATTCAAAAAACTTGTTTTATGTAAGGTGCTAATAAAGTTTCCACTGTAGTTTTCCAGACAACCAAAAGCGGAGACGCGGAAGCGGAATCGAATTCAAAATACAATCCGAAAAACGAACTATTTTTTGCCTCACCAAGTTCAAGGTCGTGGCCTAATGCAAAACACGAAGGCGTACAAAACTCATCATAATAAAAACTAGACAATAATTAATGCGAATGGCCCCACGACAAAAGCGTCGGCAAATATTGTGTACAAATACAAATATTAGCAACGGACAGATAAACAAAGTGAACTGCGCAAATATGTGAGTGACGATCGTCCGACATTTTCAGCGATTATATTTTCGCATCTTGGCCCAAATCAGAAAACTCGAGAGGCAGACGTTCCACCTGTCACTGTCCAATACATGGATTTAATTATGCCTCCTTTGTTTGGGAACAAAGGGAGGTGGTTTAAATTTAGAATCTATAGCAAAATTTTATTTTTATTGCTTTGAGGTAGGTCAAAGAGTCCATGTTATATTGAAATGATTGAATTTAAATGAGACATGCGTTTGGTTAAGATTCAAGATTGACGAGTCATAGCAAAATGTCTTTAAAACATAAACATATCATTTAAATTATTCACAAACACATAACACGAGGTGTAACAAATTATACATAAACGAGTTATTAAACTAGTATTTAAAGGTATGCCTTTAAAGAAGATTATTCATCATAAAGTCAAATTTGTTTTAATTATCAGGTTTTAAATGAATGGAATACTGGTTTTTTAATAATGTTGTAGGCGGAGCTGACTTTTTAAATACTCCACAGGTAAAATTCTAAAGTCCTTCGATTTGTCAAAACAAAATAATGTTAATATATGTAGGTACCGTCATAAAAGTCTTCATCTCAACCTGCTCAAGATATTCTTACCCAGCGGATGTGGATGCAATAATACATATAGACCTATTGAGATCTTTTATAACCTTATAAACAGGTAAAATATCAGTTAAAGTGCCATCAAATAATATGGTTTCTACCTTTAGAACACCATATCTACCCTTTTTTACTGAGGTACTACAATCTTTTCCATTTAAAACTGTGCTCTACCACAGAATTCGGAGTTATCCTTACTTGCGCATCTCGTTCATGGCGTCGAAGGATCGCGCCGTGTGCTGATCATTGCTGTATTGGCCCACTGTGCCGCGTTCCTTCCCATTTGGTCGTTGGACATGTTTCTGGGAGCTCTCGTCCAGGGAATTCTGACTGGCGTATCTCAATAGACAACTGCCGCGTTCTAATCCACTTCCTTCGGCGGCAGGATTCTGATGTTGCTGCTGTTGATGTTGCTGTTGCAGCAGGCGTTGTCGCTGTTGCATGGCTGCCACGCCCACAGCGGCTCCTAATCCGGGCGGTGGCGCCACAAAATCCGCTGCCCCGCCTCCGCCTTCATTTCCCTGCTGCTGTTGTTGTTGCTGCTGTGCCTGTTGTTGTTGCTGCTGCTGCTGGTTGTTATTGCTGCCATTGCTAAGGTTGCTCATAATACCGATCGTGTATTTGGTTAACAGCGCACTCAGAGCTATCATCCGAAAACGGATCGAATCGAATCGGATCAAAATCGGAGGTTACTTGGCCAGACCACAAAAAAAAACAAACCGAGTTGGAGAAAAAATTGTACACTTTTGGACAGTGTGACCGCGCTGTAGTCGAACACAAAATACCGTCCGGCTCTGAAAAATATTGCATTTATACCATTTTCACTAAAATTAAAATACTACGTTTATCTAGGGTATTCCCTGCATTTTGGACAGCTGTTTGGCAGCTGAGCCAAACAAAATCGACTCTTAAAAACTGCAGTAAATCAACAACCTCTTAATAGAGAACAATTAAAAACATAGGTTTTGTCCTAAAAATTTGACCAATTGTTCAGTTACGCTGAACAGCTTTTTGACAATTTATTTAGGAAAATAGCTTACCTTAAGAGTACCCAAGATAACACTGAAATAAGCACAGCATTATAGATCTATTGATTTATGCCCAGGTCGAAAACCCATCGGAAAGACTTGAATACTTACAGAATTTTCCATCATTTTTATATAAGAAACACTCTACTCTCGAGTTAAAAAAAATGTAAGTCATACAAAAGCAAATTGCTGCACAACTAAATGGCGCGACATTTGAATTAAAAATATATCGGAAGACGAAAGCCTGGAACTACTAGAGGTGGGCCCAAAATCGCTTAAGCTTCGCTCCATGGGAACATTTTATGATAGGTGGTTAAGTAAAATAGATTATAAATTTATCCAAAAAAAAGTTCAATTGTTAAATTTAATAAATATAAGCTGGTGGTAAAGGATGCCGAACTCTTTCTTAAAATGTACGTTTAAATAGGGCTTCGCTTTTTTATTTGAATTTAATTTTATCTGTAAAAACTGGCTCTTTAAGTGTAATTCGAAATGGAACAGGACAAGTTTATTAATTTTATTAAAACTCTGATGATTAAATTAAATATCAGGAAAAGCGCTAAGTGTAAAAGTGAATTTAATTTACTTTTTATATTTTCTAAGAACATTTCAGAACAAAACCATATTTAAAACGAAAAAGTCACCCGCAGCATTTGGAGCAGGTTAATGTAATATTTTGGCATTTCCCATCTTAAATTTAAAACGCATTTCAACTCTTGCTAATATCTTGATCAACTTTATTTGTTTGGCTTTTTTGTTTAGTGTTTTTTTTTAAATATTGATACTCATGCTCATCAACATTTTGGATATGTAAATTACATTAAATAGGTCTTGGAAACAACTGCTTATTGAATGTTTACGAATAACAGCAACCACCTAGGTAGGAATACATGATTTATAATTCTTTATATTTAATATAGCTAATAGCTTATGCGAAAATCGGTAATATTTACAAATGATCTACACATGTATAACTGATAGTTTTTGTAAAAACAAAGCACTCGCTTGGAAACGAAATCACTTCGAATAAATAAATAATATATAATTATAAATAGGTGAAATTACATTTGGAAATTTGGCTAATGAGAGAGTTTTACACTAACTAGGCTGTATCTTGTAGTTCATATTTACACATAATTTAGATTCCATACTTTAAAATAAATACAACGAAATATTACAAAAATACATGCTAAAACAAAAAGCTTGATTGGCTTTCCCATTTTGCAATACTTATCATTGTAGGAGAGGGGTTTCGCTTTAAGTAATAATACTTAGTTTATAGTACAATTAGCTAGAAGCGATTTTGATTCTACATTTCGCTGCCTTACTAGCAAGAAGGTCACAATTCAAAAAAAAGGTATACAAGTTACTTTCTTGTAAATGAGATATAAATGCTCTGTTTTATTCTCAGATGGAGAGATGGTTTTTCGATTTATGACAGTCTTGTAGCAAGTGAGCGAATTTTTTTTGTTTTGGGGCTTTATAGCTTATGGTTTCCGTTTGATCTCTAACTTTATGGTGGCGGCACACACACGCTGCACTGGGATTGTCTCAGGTTGAGTTTTGGTTTCTGGGGTGGTTCCTCCGACTACTTCTTCTACTTCTCGCCGATCAGGAGGAGCGGCGCTCCGGAGTGGAGACCGTCTGGTAGCAATTCAGATTGGCCGACATCCGGCCAAAGGCGGCGGCCATGCGATTGGGCAGCCGGCTGAGTTGCTCCTGAAGATTGGAGGATCGGCTCAGGGGCGCCGCCGTGGTGGTAGTTGTAGACACCTGCTGCAGTTGGGCCACCACCTCGGCGTGCTGCACATAGGACACCCGTATGTTGACCCCCTCGTCGTCCTCGTCCTCCTCGCTGCCACTGTCCACATCCTCGTAATAGGTGAAGCCCACCTGCTGCTCCTCCCGCTATAGATCGCCATAGTACGCCGGCACCGGCGTATTCTGATCGATGGGCTTCACGCGCAGCTTCTGCTTGTAGTGGTACTCCTTGAGGTAGCTCTTCAGCCGGCCGGGCAGTTCCAGCTGGTTGATCCCATCGTAGCTGGTCTTGGACACAATGGTGGCCCGGGCCAACTGCTGCAGGGAGAAGGTCTGCCTCCGGTGCAGGGGCATCGTGAGGCAGGGCTCGAAGAACATCACGCAGGCGGGGTCCTTGTAGTGCTCCAAAAGTCCTGTCACCGTGGGCGCCGTAAACACACTCGAATCGTGACAGTCGAAGCTGAAAGAATATGGGATCTCGTTAGTTTTCTAGTTTAGAACAATAATGAGATTACATTCTAAGATAAGATGGGGAAGGGATGTAGTTATTTTATTTAAAAGTTGACCTAGTAATTAATTTTTATAACACTTTATGAAGAATTTTAAAAAAGCTATTTAATAATTTAATCACTTAATCATTTAAACAATTAAATATAGTTGTTAAAAACTTTTTAATTTAGAAATATTCAAGTAATTACGCTTTAAAATACTTATTTATAGCTTACTGATAAAGAAATCCAAAAATATGAATAATAAATCTTTGTTTTATCAATAAAAATATTTTTACTACAATCAAAGTTCTTAATAATTGTATTTAAAAATTTAAGTGCATCGTTATCACCAATGACTACATCGTCATCTAAAAACTGCCGAATCATAATTCCAGGAATTTCCTTTTAAGTTCATTGCCTTGCAGCTTTGTGAATTAATCTTGTGATTAATGTCTAGGGCAATTAAAATCGAAGCAATTTTGAGAAGTGACCCCAGATAAGGACGAGTGCGGATGCTCACCTGAACTTGTGACCGCTCTGTTCGATGCGGGCGTGGAGTGATCTGCCGTACTTGCGGAATGTGACCGAGAAGAGGAACTCCTCCTGGGCGGAGTCGCGTAGCAGGAACGTGCCCTCCGGCTTGCCCTCGAGCAGGTGCTCCGCCTCGTAGCGATCCATCTTGCCCCAATAGAAGCTGCTATTCGTGATCCTCTCCAGATCTGGCACCAGGCAGTGCATGAAATCGATTTGCGAATGCACGGTCGCGCCCTTGCGTCCGGCGATTCCTGGTATTCCGGGGGCTGGTTGCGATTGGGGGCGTGGCTGGGGCGGAGTCTGGGGAGGTTGGGGGGCTGGTTCGGTGACCACAGTGACCCGTCCATTGGGCGACTCGACCACAAAACGCGGCGACGTTATCCTGATGATCACCTGGTGATGATGATGACTCGCATCCGGAACGGCCACCGAATTCCGCTTCCTTTGACTCTGCATCCGATGGGCACTCCCACTGGACGAACCCAAAGTGGGCGGTGTGGACCGGCGATCGGCGGTCCGTGATTTCCTCGGCACCGCCGACGCCACCACTCCGGAATCCTTTTTATTGCTCGCCACACTGCTGCTGGATGTGGGCAGCATGTCCCTTAATCCTCGGAAGGCGTCGCGGCACTTGCATTTGCAGCATCGCCGCTTCGAGGATGCGGATGCTGATGCCGCGGACGAGGATGTTGCTGCGCCCATGGACAATGCCTTACTGCTGCGACTGCGGCAGCAACTGTTGCTATTATTGCTTCTGGAAACTGTGTTTGGGAAAAACAATTTATGAGTAATTTGGTTCACTTTAAATTTGATGAGATTAAAATTGATTCTCTTTAATATTTGTGTGTTGTGCACAGTGAAAAATAATGTCTCTCAGCTTAGCAGAAATTTTAATCTTCACATGTGGTTTCATAGTATAAAATGAATCACTTATTATGATTTTATTTCTATAAAATTATGTTGTGATTTGTTGTTTTTCACTTCCTGCTAAATGCCATTTAGTGTTATTTTTTTGTTGTTCATAAAAAAAATCATATTTTTTTTGAGGGATTCCTTGGAAGCATAAAGCGCCAGTAATTAAATTTTTTTTATTCAGATTTTAATTTGATTAGTTTAATACTAGGAAAAAATATAAATCCCATATTCTTGATTTATTTGAACATATATTTGGTATTAGACATTTATGTATATCACCACACAATTTAATTGTGATTAATCACAGTTCAATAAATTTTTAAAATTAATGATCAATTAATAATTCCATAATAATTCCATTTTGTAAGATTAATTTTGAAGGCGTACAAAAATTATCTAAGTACGCGGGAAATAGAATCGAGTGAAATCAAATAATGATGTAACAAAATTATTTCACCACACTTTGGTTTTTTTTTTAAAATTTAGTAAAATCCTTTAAGAGGGTACACTTATATTCGATATTTGAGAAAAGGTAAATGGTTTCATTTTTCACATTAACTTTTGTCATGCGCAAAATTGCCGAATTTTTCACTGTGCAATTTTCAATTTAACGAGAAACTCATTTCAATTGATTTAATTCTTTTGCCCACCTTGCTTGCTGCTGTGTTGCGTTCCCGCCGACAACATATTGCTGACTGGCAGCGACTCGAGCACTTCGCAATACTCGACGACTTCGGGCTCGTGGTTTTGGCTGTGGTTGCTATTGCTGTTGCTGTTGCTCCGACGCCGACGCAGCAGCGACTCATCCAAATCGTAGTCGTCGTCGTCGTCGTCTTCGTCCACGGGGTAGTTGGTGTTGCTGCTGGGCCTGATGTTGCTGCTGTGGCTGTTGCTGTTGCTGTTGCCGTCGTGCAATTGTAACGTACTTATCGCAGCGCCGACGCTTCCCGCTAAATTGTTGTTATTCACGGGCTGTCTTTCTGCGATTTTTGGTGCTTCCGTTGAACTGCCAGCAGCTCGATTTGTCACCACGCCCACTTCCCCATGGCCGCCCTCGAGCGTCACATTTACAATCTGGCCATTTGCATTTAGCGTGTCCGCAGACAACGCGGCGACTTCCAGCCCCTGCTCCTCCTCCTCCACCTGGTTATAGCCATCCACCTGACCACCACTGCCGGCCACATTGCCGTTCTCCATTTTGGCCAACTGAATTTTAATTATGATCTGACGCACTTCCGCCGCCGATGTGGCGGACGTGGCCTCCGTGAGGATCTCTTCCACCTGCAACTCCTCCTCGTCCAGTCCAATTGCCTCCACTAGTGCTACGGATTCCCTCGGGCTCGAACTGATGGGCAGATCGCTCTTATCCTGGCTATTGGCGCGTACAGTGGGCTTGCTGAGGTGATGACCCATTGGAAGCTCTATGTGGGCAAGACAGTCCTTGGTGGACTGGGTTTTTACTGGGTTATTTTGTCTGCAATGCAAAAAATTTAGATATTAGACATGAGGATTGGTATATTTTTTAATATTTTATGTAAACAAAATTCTTAGTAAATTATTTTCTCTTACAACATAATTTTTTTGAACATATTGCCGAAAGATTTAAAAATATAGCAATATAAATTCCAGTTCCCAGACAAATCAATTAAATACTAATTTATGTCGTTGGTAAAGTAACATACAATTGATTTCTTTTGTGTAAATACAAATTTACTGGGAATTCACAATGAAGTAATAGCTAACATTTTAAGTTAAACATTTGATGTCAGCTTTTAAAGATTTTCTCGAATAATTTTCCATAGGTAGAGGAATATTACTTAAACATATGTATAATTTGAACAGTTAACCCCGGATAATTATTACACTGAGTATGAGAAGGCCCCGTTAATTTAAAGTTAATTATTGACTAGCTTAGTTAGCATGTTTCGTTTTCAATATTTGCTCTTCGGGCACTCCGCAACATCCAGAAATAGCCGGTAGCCGAGTGGAACGAGTTTTGCCCAGTTTCCCCAGCGGCGTGTGAAATGTCTTGACCTACAGCAAAGAGTCACTTGGTGGGGGCTTCACCAGTGCATTAATTATTACCCACTCAGACGGATAAGTTCCAGTGGCAAAGGGACTCGCTCGTCGGTCAAATGGGCAATTAAACGCCACAATGTCTAACTACTGATTAATGGTGTTCCCCCGCTGATCTACTTGGAGATATCTCCCCCACGAACTGACTCATTCGCAGAGGGATCGAGGGATCCTACACATATCTATCTATATCATGCATGATGGCAGATGAGGAGGACGATAAACAAAGGCATTCCGATCCCACGCATCAATTCTCCCCAGAATAGCAAGTACGAACAAATACACACCAAATTGTAATGGGCTCATCCTATTTTTAGAGACTCACCCATGGAGAGCTGATGAAATCAAAGTGGAAAGGCAAGTACCCACTACGCAATGCACGTAGATCCCAGCCTATCTCATGTGACTGACTTCTGGGTCAAGTTGGCTTATCTGCGTAGATGGAAAAACGCAAAACCACACTGTTTTAGCGGCGTCAACAAAGTAAGCTCTAATTCATAGAAAATCGGACATTATTCACTGATAAATTCAATTCAATTCATAGGCACGGGGAAGTGGGTTTTATGCTGAGTAATTCAATTCTCCACTGACAAATCCTTATCGCACCCACATCATCGAGATGCGTCATTTACTTCCGAAGTAAGGCCATATAAGAAGGAGCTAAGGTACAATTCAGACAGGTGGAAAGCTCCATATACTGACTCATCCAACAGTCAGTGGTTGAAATTCTTGGTAGTTACCCGAAATAGGGGAAAGAAGTACTACAAAGCTATGACTATCACTGTGATTTCTTAATCGAATTTCGCACTGCAGGTGGCTTATTCATTTAATGGCGAAATAATTAGATCACCGATTGGGTTATAAAACCTCTGATTGAACGATAGTGATCCGTCATTTTATCAGGAAACAATGATGTCAGTAATTAACTGCGTGTTTACTTCCTGCCGTTTTGGGATAATTTTGAATGACTTAATATAAATTAACATTAAATATTAAACCCAAAATAATTCTTAAAAACACAACTAACCTCTAAGGTTATTGCTAGATATATAATTCCTTGAAAATATTAAATTAACATTTTTAATGGTTTTATTTCAACAGAAAATAAAAAATATATTAAATTTTACTTAAGTGCTTTCCGTTTCCTGTCCCAATTGTGATTTTGGGAACTGACCTTTGAGCGAAACAATTTAAAAAGTCAATGAAATATTATTTGCTATTAATGTGAAATTATCTGTCACTAAAAATCTTATCTGTCTTGGTATTTAAAACATAGCTCAGTAAAACTAAGTACATTTTCGCCTTCCTAAAAACATGCGTTGTTTTGACCATAAATTTAGTGTTCGCAATAACGATTAGGATCGCTCAGTTAATGTGAACTTAATCAAGATTGTTTGTCGAGGCGATTAATTAGAAATTACCACCACAAAGACCGCGAAATGTAATCAACGAGTACATCGAAGCCCAGGCTTAAACGGAAATCATGTTTTATCAGTTCTGGGAATCCTGCGGCAAATGCCATAGGAAATTTTGCAAAACTCTGAAGCCCATATAGATTTGATTTGGGGAGGGCATGGAGAATTCGCTGGAACAATGATTGCAGACGGACGTTTATCACATTATTGAAGAGGAGAGGGAGGGGCGGTCTTTAGTTATCGGCCGAGTGTTCGACCTCAGCTATCAACCCTGAACGATTTCCCTGGAATTCCCTTGTGTTAATCACATAACAAGTCGTATTCGTATATGGGTATGTTTGGGCCTAATCAAATAGAAAACCTTGTCGAACAATTCAAGCAATTAACAGTGCATATGTTTCACACAACTCAACTTTTCACCCAAAAATGGAAGGGAAAATATTAAAGTTACTTCCCGGAAATCCGACCCACAAACACGGTAAACACAGTCAAAAATTGCAGCTTTTTAACGAGAATCGAACACATTATAAATTAAGTGTTTTAGCTGGAAAACGATGTGTGTGGGGGCACTGTCGCTCAAATTATAGTGTGTCCGATGGATAATAAGGCCCCCCAGCCATTCAATTTGTATTCACCGTTGGCCTGGTCTAACGGTAATTTGCACACACTTATAGATACAGATACTTTTTCTATTTTTTTCCATGCACGACTCCGTGCCGCACGTGCTGCAGGCAATTTATCGCACTCAAATCGTACGATTCAATCGGGTGAGTAATCAATACGTTCTTGCCAACCGTATGACATGATCGTTCGCATTTAACCGCAGATAATTATTATTTTCCCCCTAATCGAGAGACTCAGAGGCTCCGCAACCTTTGCCGTATATTTACGACTATGATGAAATACAAAAAGAGTGACTTGAACTCAAGATTCAACTTCAGATTCCAAGAGACCCGCATGAGACGGCCACAGTCAGGCCAGCTAACACAATTTTTCAATGGAAATACAAAACTGAAACGGCAGATAAAATAAGCCGAACTCGGGACTGGATCCGCTTTGACTGGTACACGAAAAAAAGTGAAAATATGATATTAAAATCATCAAAACCATTCAAAAATTGAATTGAAGAAATATGAATTCTTAAAAAAAAACATTATTTAATGTGGTAAATACCAAATTAAATATTGAACTATAATTATATAAGATACAAAAAAAACAAACCAACAAATTCTAGTCAAAAACTATAGGAAAAAAACAACTTGGGAATTATTGGAATAGGAAAATAAAAAAAGACAAATAACCAAATAAGTATGATAAAATCCTTTCACAAGTAAAATACAAAACTTTAAAAGTGAGAGAAAATAAAGAAAAATATTTAACTAAAATAAATGGTATTTTCCCAGATTTAAGTACCCATGTTTTCGCTCAGTGCACCAGGAGGGTATCCGTAGGTAGGACAAGGCGTGCCATGAGTCACTCAGACAATGAGTAGCAGCAGGCTGTCTGAGGGACCGAAACTCCGGGTAAACTACATACAACCTCGTGCATTTTTATCGCCACAGTATTTCGAGGGCTCGTCAAGCTGAACTTTTTCTTTGCTCTTCGCTCCTTACTTTTATTATTATTTTTATTTTACTCGGCTTGGTTGCCACGCGGAGCCAACGAGCAGCTGAAGTTTTTCTGCGCCGCTGCAGACAATGCGAAATTTCGTCAGAAATCCAAATGCGGATAATGATCTAATACATAACTTGTTCGGGGTAAAAATGTTGATAAATGTTGCCGGGTGGAGACGGTTGGCAGAAAGAAAGCCAACAACTCGAAGTGGTTTGAATGGCTAATAAGGGACTACGACTACCTAATGAACGGGGGATTCACCTCTTTAAAAATATGCAGAATTAACAGATTAAAAATATAAACAGAAACAAGATATACAAATGTGGAGCAGAAAAGTGAATTTTATTTGCATTTTTTACAAGTTAAAATTAGGCAAACTTAATTCAAATCCAAAAATAAATTTCGTTAAACCTGATATAGGCAGATTTGATTTAATATATCATTTTTTGGTGGATCTACTTAATTTAAAAAAGAAAAGGGAATCACATTTTCGAAAAATGCTAAATATTAACATCGATTCCAAGAAGGCAAACGGTAGGGTTACCATAATGAGCTCATACAAGCATTGCCAATTAGTTTTCATTTTTTATTTTTTCTAAGCCCAAACAATCCAAATCCAATCTTATTATCTGTAAGTGAATAATTTTGGTACATGGACCGCGCCCCGTCAAGGCCCGTTATTAAAAAACCATTTGGAGCCCGGCACTCGAAATGACTTTTTGTAACCTTCCCAGAAACTTGGCCAACAACTTAGTCATGGCTTAGCTGGCTGTCCCACTGTATGTATTATGTTTTACGCAGAAATTGTCACAACAAAGCATCGGCAGCAAAGAGCAGCATGAATTGCGGTCAACGGGGCGAATGGGGGACGCAATGTGGGCTAGTGCAAAAAATAAAAGCGAGGCAAACAAAGGAGCACAAGTAAAAAGTCAAGCAAATATTTAAATACACTACAAAATATTTTTAATTTGGTAGGCAGCAAACCAAAACTAGAGGTTGTTTACTTCTTAAATCAATTATATGTGTGTATGTATGTATGTTATTATATGTATGTTTGTTTGGGGAATGATGATGATTTATTATATTTTAATATTTACTATTTTACAATTTAGATTTTTATTTATTGTTAAAAAAATTGTTAAACCGATCTTCTTATTTACAACAAATAAGCTTACAAACCGCGAGTCATGTATAGTATAGTCATGAAGTAAGTAAAAAATAATTTTTTGTATTGCAAAATTTGTGAGAATGTCGATAAGCCCGGCTGACAAGTCAAGGAAACTCCCGATGAGAAGAAACCTCAACAAAAGTCGACAACAACAATGAAAAAGCCAGCGACTCAGAAGCAAAAATCCAAAGGGGGAGGGGCGGGGTTGAGGCGTAGGATTTTAAAGCGAATTCAATTACTTTTTGTTGCTGCCGACATCGCTTCTTATTTTCATTTTTTTCGTTTTTTTTCGTATTTCTGTTTTTTGTTTCCATTTTGTTTTGCATTTACTGGGAATTCGCAAATGAAGTTCGCTTGAAAATAAAATCACATGCAAAGCGGAGCAGTAAAGTGCCAAAGAAAATGGAATGGGGTACGGAATGGGGGGCAGGGTACGTGGGGGGATCCTGAGAAAGTGTATTTCATTTTGATATATTTTTTCGCAGGAAAATTGAAATGAGATTTATTTATTTCGCTTCGGGCTCTCGGATTCGTAATTTGCCCATTCATTGCGCTACGGGAGAAGAGTGATAAACAAACAAACGCTTCTCATCATGCCGATTTGGCATTAAAACCCATGTACCCATGTACTATAGATATACATTTGTATATATGGAACTTTAATTAGCATTTCCATTTAAAATCGGTCGGGGCACGAGCTAAGCGTAACGTATACAGGTTGGGTTCGTGACTGATTATGTTCGACGGGACTGGGTCTTAAATGGCCTAAGAGAGGTGTACATAGGTATCTCCATTGACGTAGGAATCATTTTGTTTATATTACGTTTTACGCTCCGAATTGTTACGTTATCTCGCCGCTCTTTCTGCTATCAATAGGATGTTGGCAAGAGGGGCGGGACGGGGGGGGGGGGTGTTGATTATCTAGCCCCGAAAACGATAATAACGAAAATAATAATATTAACATTTAATGTGAAAAGAGGCGATTTCTTGGAAATTCGCACACAGCGAATGAAGAGCCTCATGATAAATCCATGGCACTCACACACACACACACACACACACACTGGCGGAGAAATTCCTGGAAAATATGCACACGGTACTCACATGCTGGTAAAGTCATGGAGTTGAGTTGTGTATGTGTGTGTGCCGTTTTCTGATTAAACGAAAGCACTAACAAAATTTCAACTTAATTCGCTCCGGGTCCGGGTTAGGCCAGAATGTTTTTTTTTTCTGTCTGTCTGTTCTGGCCAAAATGAAAAGATGGTTTCCCTAGATACTTTTGGGCCGACGGGTTCGGTTCCCTTTGTTTGGGGTTGAGCTGAAATTATGGCCATGGGCTCCACAGAACTTTTGTTACGGAACGGTAACGGAACACGAACTATGAATTCGGGGAGTGTGCGGGATTTGTTTTGGTAGCTTTGTGATAATAATCGTATTATCTTGAATGATGGCCCCCAGAACGATAAGGCCACTCGCAGATACGCTGAAATCATGAATAACTTGAATGAAGGTTTTTAAACCTCCAAATTAATTCATAAGTTATGCAGATTTCTAGGTATTAGAGAAGGTAATAATCCTAAGCTTCCATTTATTTTTCTATAGATTTTGTAATACTTAAGATTGAATGAGAGTTTTAAAGGCTTTTGAAGAGCAGAACTATATTTTTGAAAATTCATGTTTATCCAGCAGGTCAAAATTATTTTTCCCTTAAACTAGTGTTTAAAATTTAAGATGATGTCAATTTTTATCCATAAGATACACAATTAAGTATTTCATTTTTAGCATCGTACACTTATTCACTGTTTTTCACTTTCAAAAACCATTATTGAGGTAGGTTTATCGTGAGAAGCGTGACTGCATTTCTTTCACTATTCTTAAACAATCAATTTCAATTAAAGTATTATTTTGTTTTACCTGCTTTTAGCTTCGAGCTAAATTGTTAACTGAACGCCATTGGGCAAGCAACCGGGCATTTTATTTCCGATACGGCAGCTAACAATGGGTCGTAAACGTGATTGATTAAATAGTTTTAAATATAGCGATTACGGAACCAGATAGGTGAAGAAAAAGTACAACCTTTGCGAATACGTATTGAGGCAAGCAATCTTGAAGAGATTACACAAGCCTCTATAAAAATTCATTGATAAATTACTACGAAACGCAAAATCAACATAAGCAACTCACCTCCCACCTCCCATCGTTGTGGCCCACTCGCAAACACACTCGCTTATCAACAGAAAGTTGAAACGAAACGAATTTCTTAGAACAATCAAAAGCATTTCGTTGGCTTTTCCAGGGAAAAGCAAATATGTAGGTAACCATGGGGAGGTGGGGTAAAGTGGGCAGGTGGTGCGGTGTTGAGGGGGTGGCAAGTCTGACATGTGGCTGAGATAACGATAAGGTAACATCGGCGGACAAGTGAGGGGTAAGGTCAAGTCGAGAGATATTAATATTGGTCATAACAAACAAACAAATGGCTCGTGTGAGAGCCCAGAGATTTTGGATCTTGAAACGCTGACACATATCGAAAATTTACATAAGCCATACTTGAACTGGTTTTCTATTTAAGTGGCTTTTCCGATAAAGCATCTTTAGCAGCTGTACTCCCAAATGGGTTTACTATGCATATGCAATGTGTTGAAATTCATATTTAACTATTGTATCTTATTTGTAAAATATGAAAATATGATCTAATTAGAGTTATTACGTTTAGGAAAATAATATTTTAATGAATTTTGCCTTTGAATATTCATTTTTTGATTAACCTAATTACAGAAAACTACCTTATTAACTTGGAAGCGGAAATACCATTAGGTGTTTTCTGTATACATAGTTATGCCCAATTACAATTTAATATCACTAGTTTTATAACTGGTTTTCAATGGAAATACAGTTAAGTGTGGAAAATATACTTTAGAAAATGAAATATATTAGCGCATTGTGATTGTGTTTAGTGTAACCAAGATCGTAAATATACGGAATTTCTGGGGAATCCGTTGTGCATGAGTGTAACTTATGGCAGCACTTTTGTGGCTTTAACTGTACATAAATAGAAGCATGTGTGTTTTGTGTTTTTCCGTTAATTGCAGTTCCAAATAAAACATCTCTATATTTTCAACCCCCCCACAGTAATTTTCCTTTGTGAACCCACTCGAGATCCACTCACACACACCCTTACAATTGACTGTTTTGCCCACATTTCACTTTTGGCATTGCGTTTCAATTGAACAAATTCACGCGAACAATTAACAATAAACGAACAAAATCAAATTTCCAACGAAAAATCTCATAGAAAAAAAAAAAAAAAAAACAAACAACAATGGGATGAAAGAGCCAAGGGGGGTGGGGGTATGGAAGCAGGAGGGCAATAGTCTACCTATGATTAAGTGTGAGAGAGATGGAGAGGGGGCATTGTTGCTGGGCAGACAATTTGGCATTTCGCAAGATCGCTTTCTCGCTCGCTCTCCTTCCCACATGGCTGGCAGCTAGGCAGCAGCTGTCCCGCTTCCACACTGCACTTATCCTGTGTTCAAAACCGTTTCACGGGAAAAGCTATTAAAAAAAAATTGAAAACGCTCTCAAGTTTAATACGAAAATTCAAGGAAATGAGCGGAAGAAGATGGTAAAAGCGGGTTTTTTTTTTCTGTTACCAGGAATAATCAAAAAAGTGCACACACAGAGAGAGGAAAGAGGAACACAGACAAGCGGCAACAACAATTTGACGCATTACAAACGAAGTTAATAACACCTTTTCTTATGAAGGGTACAACGCCGATGTTCCCATGTTCCCCTACCGCCACTCCTACCCATACCCCTTCCCCTTGCCATTGTTGTTGTACGGCTTCGGCCGAATTCAGCGGCTACACCTTTACATTCATACACCTTTAGCAAGAAGCCATGGCCAACAGCAGAGGTCCAACAACAACAGCTATAAGGCAATAACAGCAGCAACCGGGTCTCGATATTGGTATTGGTGCGGCCGACAGAGCAGTGCAAGTACAGTGAAGCCTCTTCGAGGACGGAAGAATCATATTATATATCACACAGCTATTAAAGCATAAACGTATTACAATTAAATTGTTGTATAGTTTTTTAAGATTGTTGTCAGTGTTTTACAATCCTAAAATTTTAAAATATTTCAAAAATATCGAATTTTTAGTTAGAAAATATCTAGTATGAGTTAATAATAGTTTGACCCAAAGAGGTTTCGCGTACATAAAACTAATATATCTAATTTTAGGACAATTTGTGTATATATGAGTGGTGTTATTCAATCAACTAAAATGATCAACATGGGTTAACAAATATCGATATGGACAGCTCATGTTATCAGTGATATTTGATATGATTATGTTTGTTGTCGTGGGAAAACACAGAGTGGAATGTGACTCGATGGCTGATTTTGCTGTTTTGTCTAAGTGCCTAATGCGAGGCTCCACTGTATCCGCATCTGCTCGTGCGCTCGCATCTGTAAATGTATCTGTATCCGTAACTGTGTGTTTGAGCCTGTGTGAGGGCCAGCTTCAGCTTGGCTTGCGGTGTTAAATGTTTGCAGCAGCATTTTTCATTCAATAGCCCGAACCGCCAACAGAGGCAACAAAAACAACAACGGCAGCTGCCAACATCATCAAACACACACACACACAGGCGCACGAACCACTCGCCGTGTGAGAGTGTGAGTTTGTGTATCTGTGAGTACGAGTATACGAGTACGAGTATCTTTGTATCTGCTGGTTCGCTTGGGCTGTCTGTCACTTCTCAGAAATCGGTCTAAATTAGAAAATGCGTTTCTGGGAATTTCGTATCGCTCTTTTGGGCTCACACAGTTCACAGAAGAGCGAACGAACAAATAAATATATATATTGAATATATAGTATAATTTAGCTGTATGGACGATTCCCCTTATTACCAGTTCTCGGAATATTATGCCTTTGCTTTCCCCAATGAATCTATCAATGGCATCTGCAAATACATATATAGCAAATGTCAACTATTTTCCTTTGTAATTTATGCAAACACAACAATTACTGAAAGTGATAAAACTTGGTTCTTATTTACTTTGTACCCCTGGCAATTATTTACCTCTCGTATGAATTGCTGCTGTTGGCTATTTTCAGTGTGCTGGTTACTTTTGGCTAGTTGGCAAATCGCTTAAACCGTAGTTTAAGCATAATTTAGATTGCGTTTCACAGTATTTTTCACTTGTTTCGTTATCTCTCTCTTTTTTTTTTGGTGTTGTTGAGGTGACACTACACACACACACACTCGCACACTCAATCACTTGCACACTAATTGCACTTTTCGATCTGCGATGGCACTCTACGGATTTTCCGCTATTTAGTGTGCAATTCCGTCAATTTGTGCAATTTCTCTCGACGAAATCACGCACGAATACGAAGAAGTATCTCTTCCCCGAAAAGTATCTGCGTCCGCTTCGTTCCGTTTCTTCAGTGTGACTGCCGACGGAATTGTGATGCATACTGCCACCCCAGATAAATCCACTAAATTACACCTACAATTGGAAAGCCAGAGGGTGGGAAACTTTGCTAAGCGGACTAGCGGTGTTTCGAACCAGTGTGGTGAACTTTGATAAAGGGGCCAGCGGCTGTACCAAATCACTGTTACCATACGTTTAGCACAGACTCAGACCAATATGTTGATAACAGAAGTGCACTGTAATCACAATACAATGGGTTCTGATATTTCGGACGTCTCACTACACAAGAAATCATACAGCCATCACTACTAAAAATCAAAACAAAAACATTGCAAATATTTCCAATGGAAATTAACGAAATTGGTGGCATTATGGAATCACCACAACGCAATCACCCTTCTTTCGATGCCCCAATGTCTAGTGATGGAGGCACCACGCATCTCCGGTCAATTTCCCCACATAAATGGACACCCACTCAGACATCATTTTCATCTTAAGAATATATTAACATAAAGGTAAGTATAAATACGACATTGTTTTTGTTCTTGTGAAAACACAGGTTTTTAGATAATTAAAATACAATCAATTTAAAGAAAAATTATGAGCTTAGAAGTGCAGTATTTTGACACTCTTCTGCAAACCCATTTCCACTGTTGACAATGACTGGACTTGGGCGAGGATTAGCCTATGTTCTTCAGAAGTGACAATCTCCAATAGCCTCAAATTTGAGCTGTTTTCCCCAGCTCTTTCCCAAAAGTGCAACATTGGTCGTATAAAAGGCTACCTTAAAAGCCTTTAAAATGAACCGGGTTAATTTTAAATAGTTATCGATAGATAATAATTTCTTCGATCTATCGATCTATGTTGGTATTTTCCAGACGAGTTTTGGCTCTCTCTGCGCATTGAATTCAATATTTATCACTTAACTAATAACATAGTTAATATTAAATAACATAACGTGTGGAAACGAGATGTTTAAGTGCACTGCGCACCGGCTAAAACTTAAAACACAATATAGTAACTGTAGGATTTCTACCGAAATCTGTTTGCTGAAAATATTGTGCCGCAAGTGCAGAACCAGTGGCAAAAGTCGCCGCAATAAGTACAGAACAAATTGGGCTGCGGAGAAGTGAATACGTCAAGATTTCTTTTCGTACTAATTTTATTGAGCATGGATCCATGTTTTACATCTACATCTACATCTACCCGATGGTCGGGTTAAAATTTCCCAAGGGTTATGACAGATAGTATGAAGGCACGTCCGTCGGCTGGGTGCTTATGGTTTATGACCCGTTATCACATGCAGATGTGCACAGACCAGGATATCAGCTACATATTTATTTAGGTCAAAGTAGCTATCAGCAACGAACGAATTTCTGCTAAGTCGAAATCGTACAGTAACATTAAAAGGCGAGAGATTTTTATGATGACTTTCAAAATGTACACAACTTCTCTTAATTCTTATCAAAAAAGCTTAAAAAGCCAAAGAGAAACGTCGTCAAAACAATAGCAAATCAGTTCAGTAATTCTCTCCGGCATGGCAACAGTAAAACAGCTGACGAGAATAACGGATATAGACGATCTAAAAGATCTGAAGCAGCTGTATCTGAAGGATTGGCCCAAAAACTGTGTCGGCTTCTTCTGGCTGGATAATTATTTGCGATGGTTGCATCAAAATCCGAGCTTAAACCACCTCAACTTTTATACTTTGGATAATGATTGGAAAAGCGATGGATTGTTTATACTGGTGGTATGCAGAAATGATTGAGCAAAACCTTTGATTTATCTTATATTTAATTTCCCACCTCTCAGCATCGCTATCAGTTATTTTTCAGTAACTTAAGCAAACAAAAATCTGAATTAAAAGTTGCGTTGAAATTCTTGGATTGGTCGGGAGGCTTCAAAGTCAGTGCCATTCACGAGACCCATCACAACATCTACAAAGAGCTCGTTTCGGAACTCAATCTTAGAATGGATCGTGAAATGGCTACCATTATGTATAGTTTAACCTGTCAGGAGGCCAAGAAATTGGTTGTAAATTGTCCAGACGGTTATTATCTCGATAAAGTGCGTTTGGAACATGCAGATCTCATAAACGATCTATGGTCAGCTCGTCATCCCGGTTCCCTTAAACTCATTCAAATGCTCATAACTCACAACACAAATGTTGGTTTATATGAGGAAAAATCGGGTTTATTGTGCGCATGGTGTTTGAGGTAAGAAACAGGACGATATTACTAAAAATCAGTCAGCTAGAAATAATTCCTTCTTATTTTACAGACTTCAAAGCGGTTTTCTCGGTGCTTTAGAAGTGATTCAAACCCATCAACGTCGCGGTTTGGGGTTAGTAGTTGCCGCAGCCATATCCAAGGCAATTGCCACCGATCTGCAGCAGGATATTACGGCCCTGGTGAATCTGAACAATGATGCTGCCTGTCGGGTGTTCCAGAAACTGGATTTCAAATTGATCCGGCGCGAGCACTATTACTGGAGCATGATCAAGCCGATGGACGGAGATCAGATATCTTGGCCCAGCAACGAATAAACCCAGACAGCAAATAGAGATATAGAAATGTGTACAAGGGCTGAAATGCAAAAACATCTATAAAGAAATGCACTATCTAAGGCAAATAGTTATTTGGTATAAATTGGATCACTGTCCGGTTACAGGGAAACAGTTTGTAAGATGAGTCGTCTACAGCAAGTCGGTATCCAGCAGATGGAGGATCTTAAATGTGTGTACACCCGAGACTGGCCAAAATATTGCAAGGAATATTATTGCCTGGACAATTTTGTGGACCTGCACAGGAAGGATCCTCACCTGGGGGATGTCAAAATTTACGCTCTTCCCAATCTTGAACTCGGACTATTTGTGATTGTGGTAGGGATGTGAAAATTTATTATTTAATTGAAAATGTAATTAGAGTTTTACTTGTATGTTCTGTAAATCGTGAAGGATCGCTATCAGATTTCTGTTGGCTTTTTGGAGTCTGAAAGATCGGAAAGTCGTCTGAGGGAATCCTTACTTCAATTGGAGTTTTTTGGGGGTGAACAATTTGCCTCCATGCCAAAAAGATATTTCAAAGCTGCCATCGATACAATACATGCGAAAAACCTGAAACTAGATATTAACAGTGTAACGTTCTCCCTGGTTTTGAGCAATGAAGAGGCCCTTCAGTTTCAAGTGGAGTAAGTTTATCTATAAGATGCAGTGATATATGTATTGCCCAACCTACTGGGGACTTTTTTAGACCACCAGTTGGCTTTTCCTTAAAATCTCTGCGAGTTGAGGACGCTCAAGTAGTTGATGACCACTGGGAATGGAGTGAACCGGGTACCCTTTCTTTTATCCAACGCCAAATTATCTGTAACACCAGTGTGGGCTTGTATAAGGACGATGACAATGAACTCGTGGCCTGGTGTATAAGGTAAATATTTTGAAAGGACCTGAACAATTAAATAACTAACTAATACTTATTATGTATAAACTTTTGAACAGGGCTCAGGATGGTTTATTGGCAGTTCTTCAAGTCAAAAATACCTATCAACGCAGAGGTTTCGGAGTTCTGATTGTGAAAGAGTTTTCCAAACGAGAGGCTCTCCAGGGCCACGATGTAATCACCGAAGTTGTTCCAGAAAACAAGGCATCGATGAGTCTGTTCAAGAAATTGGGCTTCAAATTTAACGACCAGTGCCATTGGCTTTACACAGAAGCGCCAATTAAGGATTGATAAGATTGTTTATCTGGATTTTCAAGCATGTAAATCAGAAAAATATAAGCGCAGATGTGGTGATAAAGTGCGGGGGACTCTTAAGAGCAAATAAATATATATAAAATAAAGAGAGAGTCTAATGATATCGAGAGAATTATTTAAAGAGAGCTTGCAGCTGTTTGAATTAATCACATAAAACCCCAACAATCTAATCCATTCTCGCTCTGGAACTTGTTTAGAAAGGTTTTTTCGCACGACTAAAATGTGCCCTCAATTGGAAGTCATTGGTCTGTTAGATCTCCAGAAATTTCAAGGACTCTACAAGCAAAACTGGCCCAAATATTGTCAGGAATATTACTGCCTAGATAACTTTATTGAATTTCTCAAAAAGCAACCCCACATCAAGCATTTGCAACTCTATACGTTGGACATAAAACAAGCCAGAGATGAGGGTCTTTTTGTAATAGTGGTGAGTTCTACTTGCATTGTGCTATCTACGAGTAAACAAATCATTAAGAGGGGATATAATCTCGTAGGATCGCTATCAACTTTTTGTGGGCAGTTTGAACAACTCAAATGGTCTAGTGAAAAAAGCTTTGGACTTGGTGGACTGGTCATCGGGTTTGAAATGCAGTTCTATACCCTACAGACATATTGATGCTTTGAATAGTATTATCGAGGAGAAAAAGTTAAACTTGGAGTTCACAAATCCCACCGATTTGTTTTATATGAAGGCAGAGGATGCTCTTCAGCTGAGGGTTGAGTAAGAAATATTTATTTTATAATTAAAATTATCATTTATATACTGTTTACTTCTTTTAGATCCCCAGTGGGATTTGTTTTAAAAGCTTTAAGTGTGGAAGATGCTCCCCTGGTAAATGAAGAGTGGCCAAATCATCATTTGGGATCTCTGTTCTTTATAGAAAGACAGATTCGCCTATGCGTCAGTGTTGGATTGTATCAGGAAGATACTCAAGAACTGGTAGCCTGGTGCATCAGGTAAGTAACACAAAGTCCTAATATTATTATATATTTTTATACCCTTGCAGAGGGTATTATAATTTTGGTCAAAAGTGTGCAACGCAGTGAAGGAGACATCTCCGACCCTATAAAGTATATATATTCTTGATCAGGATCACCTCCTGAGTTGATATAGCCATGTCCGTCTGTCCGTCTGTCCGTCTGTCCGTCTGTCTGTCCGTCTGTCTGTCCGTCTGTCTGTCCGTCTGTCTGTTTCTACGCGAACTAGTCTCTCAGTTTTAAAGATATCGAATTGAAACTTTGCACACACCCTTCTTTCCTTTGCACGCAGTATATAAGTCGGAACGGCCGGGATCGGCCGACTATATCCTATAGCTGCCATATAACTGATTGATCGGAAATGCCATAACTCTGCTGTTTGTTAAGTTAGGAAGTTGGAATTTTATATGGGTTTTATATTTGGCCAATCAATCCGACCTACCAAATTTCATAAAGATCGGCCGACTATATCCTATAGCTGCCATATAACTGATTGATCGGAAATGCCATAACTTTGGTGTTTGTGAAGTTAGGAAGTTGGGATTTTCTATGGGTGTTATATTTGGCCTATCAATCCGAACTACCAAATTTCATAAGGATCGGCCGACTATATCCTATAGCCACCATATAACTGATTGATCGGAAATGCCACAACTTTGGTTTTTGTTAAGTTAGGAAGTTGGGATTTTCTATGGGTTCTATTTTTAACCAATCAATCCAACCTATCAAATTTCATAAGGATCGGCCGACTATATCCTATAGCTGCCATATAACTGAACGATTGGAAATGCCATAACTTTGGTGTTTTTAAAGTTAGGAAGTTGGGATTTTTTATGAGTATTAAGATTGCATCATATGAATAATTTTGGAGAATATAATTTACAGAATATTCTGCAAGGGTATATCAACTTCGGCTCCGCCCGAAGTTAGCTTTTCTTTCTTGTTTATAACATATAAACTTACTTCTCAGACTGCAAGGCGGCTACTTGGGGGCACTGCAAACGAAAGAATGCCATAAGCGTCGAGGATTTGGCAGTGTGGTGACCAGGGAAATTTCATACCGCCTCGCAGCCCAAGGTCACGATGTAATGGCTCTCGTAGGCACCGCAAATAAACCTTCTTCCGCGATGTTCAGTAAGCTCGGCTTCCGAGTCATCGACCAATGCGAGTGGCTAAGAACGAAACCCACCAAAGGAGAATTCACCTGGCCCGAGGGCGAGTGATTGATGTTTAAATATTTATATTAAAATATTACGACTATCGGTTGTATATGAATACAAGTTTGGTATAAAAATATGCCAAGGCCTTTTCCATGTGCTATGACTAAAACTCTAATCGGGTGAGCAATTGCTGGCAGCGACCTTCTAATTGAAGAGCAGTTCGCTGGATAGTCGGATCCTCTGTCAGGGTCCTTGTGATCTGCCTTAAGCATTCGAGATCGTATTGCACGTGATAATCATTCATTCTATAGCTATCGAATAGTAAGAACTTGGTGGCTGCGGTTTTCTCGGCCAATCGGCGAGCGGCTATGAACTCCAGGAGTTCTATAAAATCGAGGTAGTTGATGCCAAAGCTGGCCCTCAGCATTGTCTGGCAGTGGGCCTCGAAATTGTCCATCTGCTGGCAGTCGGAGATCTCTTTGCAGACAGCCTTCAAGTTGTTCCTGAGGTTCTGCCAGACCATGGATATATTGCAGGCATTGAACCAGTTGTGATTGACGGATATGGTGTCCGTTATATTCCACACCTGATGGAACCAGCCACTGGGCACAAACACTGCTTCGTTGGCGCGCTGATTGATGGTGTAATATCGGACATTGTGTTCATCCAGCATTTTCTCGTCTATGCTGAAGGGCGGATTGCCCAAGCGATCGTTCAGTTTGAGCTCTTCTCCCGGCGGCATTATTAACCATTTCTTAAGGCCCACTATGTTGGTGGACCAGCTGAAGGAGCCAAACACATCCGAATGATAGGAGGTCCTAAAATAATAGAAAATTCAGTACAAGGAATAAAGGTATTTAAAGAGAGAAGAGATGTCCACTTAAATTACTAGTAATTGAATTCCCATTTTCTCTTTAAAAGTTCCTGGAGGAATTTCCGTGAAAAACTGATAAGTTTAACAATTTGGGGAACCTTTACCATGAATTCTTGGGTCCCATATAGACGAATCTGTAGTCGTCTTTCTTCTGATCAATCAGTTGTTCGTTGAGCCAATCGGAGGCAAAGTATTTAGGCACCTTGTAAAAGTTGTAGCCCGGCATTTGGGCAGCCAGATGCCAGTCCTTGAGGTAGAGATTGTCCCTGGTCGTGGGATCCACATTACTATTGACTTCCGCCGATGATGATGATGATTGATTTTCGATTCCACTGCGCCATCTTTCCAGGTAATCGTGAAAGTTTAGCTCCAGTTTGGTGTGACTATTAAAGTACGACGAATTGCAATCGGCGACTGGAACCGGGCAATTGGTAATCTTGGTTTTGAGGTAGTCAAAGTTGATGGAAGATGCACTGGGGGGATTGGAGTTGAGGTCCCTGGACTCCTGGACCACGGTCCACTGCTTGCACTCCCAGTCGTTGGAGACGTCCGTGATGATGACCGGGAAGTTCTTGTGCATGTAGCGCCAGTAAAAATCGTTATAACTTAGTCCAGAACACCGCTGGATTTCCTGCGGCAGCAGCTGTCTGTCGTTTTCCCCGATTTCCTCGGGCTGCAACTGGAGAAGGCCATCCCCATCCCGCTCCTCTGACGCCATTCAGTTTGGCAGTGGGGCTCTGTAATCCTTAAATGCTCAATCATGCACTGGCTGTGGTCTTTATTGAGTTTTTCGTGCAAAAGTTCCAAGGCAAAATTTTGTTATTTGTGAATTTTATGAACTTGTGTGACCATCACCACCAAATGTCATATGGTCTTGGTATTTTATCGACTACACGAAACATCGATATATTGCCAAGCGATATTTTTAGTAGATTTAAGGGGCGTACATTAATTTATATAAATTTGCTAAAAATATATTTAATGTAACATAATTGTTTAACTAAATAAAAGCACGAGTAAAACTGCAGCTGAGAAATTTGATTAAACATGTTTTACTGACTTATAAAACGGTATTATAAAAAAAGAAAAAATCCATTTATAAATAATTTAAAAAGAAAATCATTTAGACATTAAAATATTCATTAAAAAACAACGATTTCTAAGTAATCTGCAAAAATACCAATAGGCTTTAGCTTATCACTAACGCTTTCCTTAAATAACCGCAAATTCAAAATTGTGTTACATTTTAATTACAAACATTTAAAAAAGAACAATATCCCCCTCAATGGAAAAATAAAACAAGCACTTTGTTTTTCTTTAATTGTTTTTATATTTACTGCAATTTTTTGCCATTGAGTTTTATTCGCTAAACATTTTACCATTTTCAAGTTTTTAACTACATTTTGGTTTTAAATATGCGTGTCTGAGATTGTGTTTTTGTTTCTGTTTAAATCCAAACTGAAGAATAGATCAAATCAATATTAAGACATTTCGAGAATGGAGTTTCTGTGTATATATGCATGTCTTTCTATGTTAGTTCGGTTTAATCTCTATATCTAGGCATATTCGTATATGTATAAACTTTACAGATATTTATTTTCGACCTTCCAGGCCTGACTAAGAACTAAGTGATTACCAACAACTCTGCTCATCAGACCCAGTACCATAATACGTTTAAATTGTTTGCTAGAAAACTATATAATAACCATATAAATGAGAGCATAGGTAAAAATGCTATATACACATACAAAATCGTACAAAACGTAACAATAGATTTTATTTATATATGTATATATATACCGATATATATATATATTATATTTGTAGAGAGTTTTATTATTTGTTATTCGATTTCAGTTTAGAAAAATTTACAATTATTGAGTTTGTCTTGGGTTTTCTTTTCGTCTTGCAATAATTGGTTTAGTATGTATAATTTGTTTACTTACACTAAACGCATTTTACTAGATTTTTCTTGTTAAGTTTTCTTTTTGTTCAGAAGGTACAGAGAGACTGACTGACAGAGCGACTTGATCTATTTGTGTGTGTAGGGAAAGATGTTGGAAAAATCGTGACTTTTATATGACTTCATGTTTATAGTTATAAGGTATTCCTATACTTATTCCATTCGGAACCTACATATGTACAATTTATCGTGCGGCAGGCAGTGCCACGCCCACACTTTGCTTACGTGCTAATTTAGTATTTATTACGCTATTCATTCTTTCAGTTTTCACGCCTTTTTAACTGCTTAAAATTTAACTAAACATTTAATTGTTGTCCCTTAACTGGAACTAAAGTATTTAATTTTCCTTCGTTTTTGCCCTAAGATTTATTTAAATATTTTACTCATTTATTTTTAAGTGTATGCTTTCCCACTCACAAGTATTTGCATTAATTTGAATGCAAAAAATTAAATATTTTTCATATAATTCAATATAATATTTTGTATCTAAGTTTATTACATACTTGATATGTAGTTTTCGTGTAAATTAGTGGAATAATTGAAATTTCACAAGGTCAGAAATGAATTTTTGTTGGTCCAGTTGGAGATGAGATAACAGAGTCTGGTTTTTATATTGATTCAAGTTGGAAAAAAAATAAAATTAAAAATTAAATTTGTGTGTATTTTTTGTGCTATTTATAATTAAGTTTTTCCTTGTTTGGCAGTCTGTAGATTGTCACCAAAATTAAAAGAAATTCGATTTGATTACCAGGGGGAAAGGGAAGTTTTTCTTCAGCCAAATAATCAGGCATTTAAATATCTATATATCTTAAAGTTACATATTTAAAGCTTATACAAATCGTACATGTCTATGCTGCAAATTTAGTCAAATTTATATTTATAGATTCGCTACATAAGTTTATTTACTATACATATGAAGCAGGAGCTCAATCGATCTTCGCGTGTGATTTTGGGGACTTCCCCGGCATCTCTGGTACAACCTCAGTGTGTTTGGGTCCAGTGCTCAATTAGCTGGATGTACAATTGTAGGGATCGTCAGTGCGGAAATTGGGGTGATCCTCGAAGGGTTTCACCCCAGCTGCCTTTTTGTCATCCCTCATTTTTTCGACCTGCTGCATAACTCGCAGGAAATTTCCTCCAGCTAATTTCGTCAGCTCATCAATTGTCCAACCGCCTCCAAGAAGTTCAGCAAATAGAGTCGGATATGAAGATACATCCTCCAGTCCTTTGGGGGTACTAAAAAACAGATTCCAGGTTCGTAAAATATTAGCTGCTTTTCTGGGATCCATAAATAATTTGAATAATGTGTTCTGCTCTCTCTCTCTCTCCACAACACATATTTCAAAAAATCTCTCCGCACAATTAAATTTAATTTCCGTGCACAACATACAAAATAAATTGAATAAGCAAACCAAAGGCAGAGCCGAAGGCAAAACAGCTCGTATGCAGGACCAAATTCTGAGCGTAATAAAGTCGCATCGAGTCAAGCAACACAGCCAAACAAATAAATAATAAATAGCACACAAAGGAAAATAAATAATAAATAAACATTTTGCTGGCCGAACGCTCAAGTGCTCGGTAATCATATTTTATGAACAGGCATTTGTACAAATAAATAATAATTTAGTTTTATATGTAGGCGTTTAGGCCAAACACAATTTAAATGACACCAACAGCAAAAATGCGGACCAGTGTATAGGTGAAGATAAATTATATAGGGTGATGTTTCTGAACTTCAATTTAATAATTCTAAAATTAAGCCAAAAACTATTTAAAATAAAATTTTACGTGATTATTTATACAAAGTATAACATCTAAATAAAGATAGAGATTAAAACTAAGGGTAACTTTATCAGAAATATTTTAATAAAATATACAAAATTAATTACTGCTTCTAATATCTGTAATTATTTTCTTCCAACCATCTTAAACTTAAGCTCATAAAGTTTCAACATTTTTGGACACCCTGTTTGGCCAATGTAAAATATTTCAAGCACTCTCGAAAAATAAACCATAACAACTGCGGCGAACAAAGCAATTTATGTCCTTTTCTCTTGGATTAGCATTTAGCCATTTCCAATTTCTCCATTCGAATGTGGGCTGAATTCGTTTCCGAGTGCGTCTGTATGTGATGCCAAATGAATAGCACTCATTTGTGGCTTTTGATGGCAAAAACTTAAAATTCAATTCCCAATATTTTGGCAAAATTAATGACAATTTAATTAAATAAACAAGCCCCAAAAAATATTGGCAGGTGTCATTAAGAGAAACCATCGAACCTTTAAAGTGGAAATTTGTTTTATTGGGTAACATACACTATGTGGTTTGACACGAACCGGAAACAAAACCATTTGAAATTTTGTAATTTCATAGAATTTTAGATTATTTATTGTGTCGTGCTCGTGTTTCGTATTTTGGACCCTGGCAATTGCCCCATAAATATTCATATATAACAATTTCAGTTTTCTTGTTTTTATTGGCCACCAATACCTCGAAAACATTTCTGTGGTCGCGTTGCCCAAAAACCAAAACAAAATGAAGTTCATTTCGGTGGAAATTGATTTACATGGATATTTTTTGTTGTTATCTATGTTGTTATTTTTGGATGGAGCTCATATGCTCATTTTTGGTGATGTACTCGAAATATTTAATTCAAAAACAGCCGAGGGAGATGGAGATGGGCCTACCTGGGCCAGGTTTATCAAAATTTCGGCTTCAACATTTTGTTTGTTTTTGCATTGTGTCCACGATGCAATGAAATGGAAATCTATGCAAATGCATTCTCCCCAGCATCACGGGAATAATTACAGTGATAATGAAGACGAATGATGTTGATGATGGCCATGGCGATGAGTGCGGTGGAAAAGGACATTCTGCCACTGGTCGACTCATTGAGGTAATGAACATTTTGGTCCTGCTAATGGGGACATGCTTTAAAAATGTTTAAAATCGAATGGCAGTAGGCAAATGTACTGATTGCCGAATGATCTAATGGCCTCTCTAGCATTGCAGTAGAATTAAAGGAGAGTCTAAAAAATGTACAATGTTGGTTATCTGATGTTATTGCAGTTTTCACTTTCTGTGCTTAAGAACTTTGTATATGCTTTTTGATTATTTACTCATATACATTTCTTCTTATTTAATTTTAAACGTGGTTCTACCAAAATCGTGGAAATTGTTCTGTTAATTTTCATGGTGTCCCAATAAAGGCTTTTTATTTTATTCAACCACAACTTTTGAAATGTTATTTCAACAAATTTATTGCATTCGTTAAATCCTTTTACGACTTCCATAAGTTCCCAATCCCAATCCGTTTTCTGATAATCTTTTATCGCTTTCCCCCTTTTGTCTGATGAGGGCTCATTAAATTATCTTAAAAATCTCGTAAACAGATTGCACAAGTTGTTCGCGAAAACCCGCCAGTAAAAAAAGAGTGGTAAAGTGCCCTTAATGAGCGGTATAATAATAATGGTCTATCGTACCGCTGGCAATATGCCAATGTTAAGTCCCCGGCCTTAAATATAATCAATTAATAACTTAAAAAACTCCAAGAAGAGGTAAATAAAGAAATGAAATCCACCTGGAGGACAACGTGCATATATCGACTACGGTGGGCGAGAGGAGAAATGTGAATTTAAGTGAAATAAATGACTTTTACTTACTAATTAATGCCATCGTAGCCGGCGCCCAGTCCAACGTGATCGATGCCAGCGACTCGCTTAATGTGATTAATATGCGCTGTGTGGCAAAGTGTGTGTGTGTTTTGGGAGTGTGTTGGTCAGCGGAAGGATATCCGGTGGCAGGGTTGCCATCGCCATTGGTTGTCAAGTTCATTAAGGCGATTGTCGGAGGTCCGTCGCCATTGTTGTTGTATTCACCGTCATAAGTCAGCGTTATTAAAATTTTAGCGAATTTGAAATGTGTCCACGGCAGCCGAAAAAACAAAGGCATGAAAAGAAAGTGAAGGAGCACACATTAGAGGGCTTTATTACAAGACTTACACTTGGGAAAATTATATCTAGCAATTTACTGATTTGGATTTTTTATTGTTTATTTTTAAGAGAGCTCAAAAATACATTTTATTGCCTATATTTTTTTTTACCATAAACAAATTTCTTCTATTTATAATAATTTATTTAACTTCATGTATTCCGATAATTTAATTTGATAAATAGCTTAAAACAATTATAATATGTTGCCTTCTAAATTTTTATTTATTAATTTTGTATTTCATATTTTTTCTTAGTGCATACCTAAAAAAAAGGGGGAGACAACAATTATAATATGTTGCCTTCTAAATTTTTATTTATTAATTTTGTATTTCATATTTTTTCTTAGTGCACACCTGAAAAAAAGGGGGAGACATTTGAGGTGGCTCAAAGAAAGACAACGAATACAGGAAGTGATTACGATAGCCATTTTGATGGCGCGTCAAAAGCAATGCCACAAAAATCAGAATAGAAATGGGACCAAGAGGGGCAGAGCCAAAGGGGGATAAATGGGGATAAAAAAGGAGAGGGGAGGCAATAATGAACTAACTGAAACAATAGCCTGACAATCAGGACCCCATGCAACAAAGGGCAACCGCGACAAAGTCAGTGACTTTGATTGATTTCGGATGGGCGAAGTTTCCTTTGGGGCATTAATTTCACAAGGTATAAAAGAAATTACACTCAGTTTTTTTTCTGCCGAATTTTCATTGGAAATTGTATATGAAAATATGAACATTTTATATCGAAGTCACTCAAAAATTGTTTTAAAAAATATATATATTTTTTTATGAAGATTTTCTGCGATTTCGCTTTTTTAGTGTGTAAAATTGTAGGTTATCTACCAATCAGTTTAAGAATTTCATGTTATCTTCTTGAGATTTTGATTTTAAAACTTTTTAATTCAGAAAATGGATTGTGTTTCTTCTGGATTGTTTTTCAAAGACTATTATTTTTAAATTTTTAAATAATAAGGATAAAAAACCACTTTAAGACTGCTTTTTAAATTAAAAAAAAAATTATACAAAAATAACCTCAACCACTTACCGACTGCGTCGTGCACGGTGGAGTTGTCGCTGCAGGAGAGGAACTTCGAGTAGAAGTTGACCATGACCAGGCCGCCGTTCTTGGCCAGCGCCTGCAGGATGTCGTCCTGGACGTTGCGGCTCGTGTTGCAGAGCTCGTAGGCCGAGGAGTGTGAGAATATCACAGGTGCCTCGCTCACCTCCAGGGCGTCCCTCATCGTTCCCTTGGAGACGTGCGACAGGTCGACCATCATCCCCAGTCGATTCATTTCCCGGATGATTGTCTGCAGCGCATAGAAATATATGGAAATAGGTGGATTAATCAGAAAAGTGCATAAGTTACTTAGTTAGTGATTAGTGCTAAGACGATGCCACTATCTCCCTCTGTTTTAATGTACTTATGTTGGCTTTTCCCTAAGGAGAAATGCTAAGGGCATAAAAACCTGAGCCGCATGTCATAAAACATAAGTAATGACCACTAAGGCAAAGGACATCTTCAAACGGTTTTCATTATGCATGGGATTTTATTTAACCTTTGACTGATACTTGACCCCTTAACCCGCCACCGCCCCAACAAATTGATATTGCTGGCGGCCTGTGTAATTTGTATTTATGCGCGGATTTATGGGGATTCATTGGGCGAATCCGTGGTCTTGTGTGTGTGTGTGTGTGTTGGTGTTTGGGCCTTACATAATTGCTAATCTGATGCAAGTTGCCCCCCTCCCCTGAACTATTAGCCCCAAGGAGACGCACAAATTATGTGGGCTAAATTTATTACACTGTAGGACATTAAATAACGAACTGTGTTTAAACAATTCAATGGAGGAATGGCAGCTTTTGTTCTATGTTTTTGTTCTTATCTCGCCATAGATTTTTAGATTTATCTTTTCGCTTGGCATTACAGTGCGGCAAGTTAGTGTAGTTTAATTAATTATACAGAATTTAAAAGTTTTTAATTTTATGCTACCAAACTAAACTTTATTCCACCAAAACCTTAGCATATTTTTTGTGGTTAAGAATGGGAAACTTTAAAAGTTTTTAAAGTTAGGGAACAACAATTTTTATTAAAATTATACATTTTAACTATAAATTAAAATTTCAGTAAAAAATGTTCTTTTTAAAATAAGTTTCCGTCAATTAAGCAATAAGCTGCCCCTTTGTGTCCTTATTTTTCTGCCCAATTTGCAGTGTATTTTATGTCCGATGCCGACTCGCAGATAATTTTTAATTACATGCATATATAGACGGCATATCAGCATGTTGTTAAGTATATGTATGCTCACATATATACGCGTATATTTATATAACAACCGTATAGGCTTCTCAATTGGAGGCGGCAGCATTTCGGTGCCTCTCAAATTAGCCAGCAATTTGTTGTTGTTTGCTGCCGGTTTATATGGCTGTGTATGTGTGTGTGTGTGTGTGTGTGTCGTTGGGCGGATTGTGTACTTAATGGGCGTGGCATTAAGGGCGAAGGCAAACACACACATACACACACCAAAAATAATTGCAACTGTGTGGGTGGGAGAAAATGTGTATTAAATGCTTATTGTCGCTTAATTACGCACACAAAATGGCAAATAGAAAAGGGATAAGGGGGCGTGGCAGGACTCGATTTTGAGTGCTAGTAGGGCATTAAATCTTAATTAACGGTGCATAGGGACAAATTGGTTTTATGCACTTGATTGTATTTGTGCATGAAGGGAAAGAGGATGACGGCAGTAAATTTAAATTACCAAATTATTTGGTGATTAATTACTTAGCCAGGCAACCGGAAACAAATAATTTGTCAGGCAATATTTACTGATGTACATAAGCACATATTTATTGATATTTATGCCGCTTATTTGCATGAAACCCAGCACGAACAATCATTTGGCAGTTATAAAATATACATAATTATAATCAATTCAATTGAAATATGCTTTTCTCTCGCGTTTGTGGGCGATTCCTCGTTTTCTGCTGGTCAGTCACATTTAATTGAATTTTTAATTGGAGGTTTTCGGTTTGTTTGTCGCAAATAAAATCAAAGAAATTTCCTAACATTTCCTTACCAAAATGTATTTCCCTCACAGTAAACGGAAATTTCAAGAGTTTTATGTGCAAATAACTATAGGAAATGTCTCGACTTGTGCTTTCTCTTTGACACATTTCAGCCTGGGGCTGGATGTCCTGAAAAAGGACATTCGAACAAAGCCTTGTGACCAACAATGCCCTGGTTGGACAAAATATTCAACAATGACAATCGGGCATTTTTCTGTCGGTCAATTTCTATGGAAAGTTTTCATATTTACTCATTAATGTCAGCCGGATATCAGGCGTGGTTATTTTATTATTATTATCATTTTGATATGTTTTCACAACAAAGCCGAGTTTTTGACAGCATAAGCAGCAAATTTTTTGCGATTGTTATTAATTTTGTATCAATTACTTTTATGGTTTAAATAATTTTGTATAGATTAGCCCCCAAGCTTTGTAGATTTTCTATTTTATGACGGCTCTATTTTGAACTACCATCAATTAAATCCAAATTGTTCGCATCGATCCGGAATGCGTTCTCTAAAAATATTTAATATGCAATTTGTGAATTTTGGTAGCAAGGCCAAACATAAAAATTGCATTGGACATTGCACAGAGATTTAACAACTGCAGGGGCAATTAGTTTAATCCAACCAAGCAACAACAACCAAGCCGCGTGCAAATTGAATTTGTTTTCAAATTAATTTAAAATTTTCGCTGAAATCTGGGAAACAACAGAGGAAAAATCTGCACAAGGGAAAAAGTACAGAAAAACTGTGCTCGAAATAATCGCTGTGAGAAGTAAATAAATAAACTCGACACGGAACAAATCCTAGCAAGTTGTTGGCCCTTTTCACAGGAGCATTAGGGTTCCATGCAAAAACTCATTAAAACTTTAAATTGAAATAAAATAAATGCATATCTACATAACTCATATGAATAAATGGAAAAAAAGCATGTGCTTCTGTTTGTCTTCATGCATTTAGCAAAGGGAAAAAATTGAAGAAGTAAACTTAAATGTGCCGTAAATAAATATTCATAGTTTTCTTTTGATTTTCTTTATTTTGATATACAATTACCTAAAAACAGTAAACAAATATTTTGGTAAAATAATGTTTATCCAATTTGAGCAGCTCAAATCACAAGATCTTTATGTGGGTTAATAAAAAAATGTTAACTTTAACAGTTTTATAGTTGCCTTGGGTAATTGCACTTTGGTGTATTTTCCCTTTCATCTGCATAATGCGGATTTTCCTGACCCAGTTATCAATTATCAATTATCGCTTATGCAGGGCAAATAGAAGAAAATATCAATTTGTAATTCCATTAGCCCGGGACCGATAATATTTGATTTATATGTCTGAGTGCGTAAATGTAAATGTGCAAATGCATTCAGGACTAACGTTGGTATAGGAAAATGGGTAGGTTCTGTGGAAAGCCGCCATCGTCTTGGGTTCTCGGGGTTGTTTAAATATTTGAAAATCCATTAAGCATATTGACAATGCCGATGTGTCTGTCTGCGTTGGCATTGGCATGGTCGTGGGTTTGTTTGTGTGTGGGAGTCTGCATCCCGGCTCTTATTTAAATATGGCCGCCTTAGGGTTTTCCTCCTTTTCCCTTTCGGATTTTTATTTCCCCCCTACTCACTACTCTGATTTGGCTCCTGCTGAATGGATCATTAGTGCAGCTAATGGCGCAGACAATAAATGGTGCGGCCACGCCTACAATTTGAATTTGAATATGAATTGAAATGGCAAGGAGTACAGTGCGAAATATAAACTTTTTCATATTTATTTATGTGAGACATTTTGGATATTAAGTCTGAAGTTTTAATAGATATTTTTTACCTTTGCAATTCTTGTTCAAAAATAAAGATGAAATTGTTTTGGAAATCATCTGATTTACTTATTAAATTTCTTAATATTCATTAAAAAATTATTAAAAATTCATAGTACCCTTACATATTTTTAAAATTGTTGTATCCCAAACTGAAGGATTAATGTGATCTGGGTAGCTTTTTTTTAATGTTTGTTTTTAAACTCCCCTAATATCCATATATTTTTCCGCAGTGTTTCAGCTGAGTGTATTGAAATGTGGAAAGGAAAAAGGAGGCCTTGTCTGAGGGGCTTACCACAAACAGACGCCGCTGGCATTTCCGTCCAAGCGATTGGAGTCGTCGAATGAAGGCGGCGCCAGGACCAAGACATAAAACGGATTTATTAGGTCATTGCTGGTTTTGGTTGTCAGAGGGAAGAAGGTTCGGGACAAGAGAGGAAAAGGGCTGGAAAACGGAAGGCACAGGAAAGCCAAACCCTGGGAAATGAAGTGTGGACATGCCACTGGTTTCGGGGCGTGGAGTCTCATTATTTTGGCTAATAATTTTTGCAAAATGCCAAACAACTTTGTGCTGACAGTGAACTTTTTATTTTCAAATTGAATAGGAAAAAACAAATATTATTTAAAGCAGCTATAAAAAAATTGGAAATGGTCCCTTAAAATAATACATTTATTAAAAATATTTAAAAAGAACGAATTGAAACATATGAGAGGAATTAAGAGATATGCCACTTTCAAATCGGATAAAATTTGGTAAAGTTATGGACTTCGGAAGTCCAGTTGTGGGCCAACTTTTAACAACACATCGAAAACTTGGAAATAAATAACATGAAAAGGGGTCAAAAATTTAATCAACATTAAAATAAAAAATTGGAATGCAGATTTTTTGAGAATCAAATTACGAGTCTTAAGAGATATGCCACTTTCAAATCGGATACAATATGGAAGTGCCATTTACAAATACAGAGTAATAACTGATGAAAGTTTGCTCTTTTACAAATATTTAAAAAATTTATTTCACACACAATTTGTATCCAATTACAAACGTTGTGCCGGAATTGTAAAACAATGAATGCTTGCCTTATTATCGAAAGTTAAATCTGATCTGACAACGCCTTAATCTTCACTCTGGCAATCCCTGATCCCCGCAGGAATATTTTGCCAATGATTACCAATCAGATGCCAAATTGCAGCGAAGCACACTATTTACCCAACGCTCAATTGCAGGTCATGCAGTTAAGCTTGCTTCGGGATACTTAGAACCCAACCCATAATATGCTCTGGAAAAATCCTTGCTCCACATTTTCCACACTTTCCACGGCTGTAATAGCTGAAAAATGTTCGCCCATTCTCGTCAGTTGCGTTTTGTTCGCATTTCCCGGTCTGGCTGTCTATCTTTCTGTCTGAGTCTATAATTGAGGCGCTTACT